GTGAGTGTCAGCTGGGTGACTTTGCGCCAATCACCAGGAAACTATGAGTTCTAATCCTGCCTTAACTATGAAAGTCATCTGGGTGACTTTGGGCCAATCACCAGGAAACAGTGAGTTTCTAGTTCTGCCTTAGACATGAAAGGTAGCTGGGTGACTGAACCAGTCACCAGGAGACGGTGAGTTCTAGTCCTGCCTTCGACATGAAAGCCAACTGGGTGACTTTGGGCCAATCACCAGGAGACTGTGAATTCTAGTTCCATCTTAGACATGAAAGGTGGCTGGGTGACTTTTGACCAATCACCAGGAGACGGTGAGTTCTAGTACTGCCTCAGGCATGAAACATGGCTGGGGGAACTTTCTCTTTCCCTCCGCCTCAGTCCAGCCCACCTCATAAGCTTGTTATTCTGAGGAAAGTGGGAGGGGGGAGGAATGAAGGAGCGTTGTGCATGTTTGCTACCTTGATTTATTTATAAAAATAATCAAGGCAGGATATAAAATACCCCAGCAACCCCCCCTCCCCCCCTTCAGCTCATTAAACCGACTCTCCCATCAGTGAGTTATAGATCCAGTGTGCGTCCACAGCCTCTCCAGTGGTCCAAAAAGAATCCTCACCAGGCAGAGTAAGCAGAAAAGACAAGAAGAAAGAAACAAACACAGATACGGAACAACGAATGCCGCAAATTGCAAGGAGAAAGCTTGATTATTATTTTTTTTTTATCAAGATTGCAAAACCACAAATAATAAGTACAGGTAATTCTCGCAACCCCAATTTCTGAGACCAGGAAACTCCCATCGTTAAGCCAGGAGGCTGTTGAGTGGGCCACCCCTGGTTTTACAACCTTTTCTGCCCCTCGTGTCGTTCCTAAAGCCACTGCCGTCGCTAAGCGAATCCAGCTTCCCCCCCCCATGGACTTTGCCGACAGGATTGCAAACGTCAAACACACGTGATCTCCCGGGACGCTGCGACCGTCGTAAATACGTCCGCCATTTACCAAGGGCCCAAATTTCGATCATCCTGGCTGGGGAGCTGCTGCGACGGTTGTTAAATGTGAGGACTGGCTGTAGATCACCTTCTTCGGTGCCGTTGTAACTTCGGTCACTGAACGAACGGTCGTTACGTTAAGGACTGGCTTGGCTGTTTCTTAGATCTGGACCGTTCCTCCATTTGTACTACTGAGAGGAACCACCAGAGGACAGGCAGGGCTCGCGTGGAAACACAGAAATGTTTTCGCTTGTCCTCTTCGCTCTCGCAAATCCTCTTAATCTTTCTGCAAATAAAAACAGAGATCTGCCAAAAGGCTGAGCTCACCAAATTTTCCTCTCCTCGCCGACCCCGACTGCTGCACAGATGCCAAGCTTCGGGGAGAGGATCCAGGGGTTCCCCACAAATTGAGCCGAGGCTAAATCCACTCCTCTCTCCCTTGGCACGGAGGATAGACGGTTTAAGGCACCAGGCTAGAAAGCGGGAGACCGTGAGTTCAAGTCCAGCCTTAAAACATGAAAGCCGGCTGGGTGATTTTGGGCTAATCACCAGGAGACAGGGAGTTCTAGTCCCGCCTTAGGCATAAAAGCTGGTTGGGTGACTTTGAGCCAATCACCAGGAGACGGGGAGTTCTAGTCCCGTCTTAGGCAAGGAAGCCGGCTGGGTGACTTTGCGACAATCACCAGGAGACGATGAGTTCTAGTCCTGCTTTAGACATGAAAGCTGGTTGGGTGATTTTGAGCCAATCACCAGGAGACGGAGTTATAGTCCCGCCTTAGGCATGAAAGCTGCTTGGGTGACTTTGAGCCAATCACCAGGAGACAGAAAGTTCTAGTCCCACCTCAGACATGAAAGCTGGCTGGGTGACTTTGGGACGATCACCAGGAGACTGTGAGTTATAGTCCTGCCTTACTCATGAAAGCCAGCTGGGTGACTGGGCCAGTCCCTCTTTCTCAGCCCAACCCACACTGCAGGGTTATTGTTGTGGGGAAAAGAGGAGGAAGAATGAGCTATTTATAAAAACGCTGAAGCGGGATAAAAGCAAATAAATAAAAACCAATAAAATGCCACCCCGAGTTTCAACCCAGGCAAAGCTGCAAGCCAAACAACCCCACTCTTGTGTGTGAAGGCAGCCTTTCGGGCGTTCCTCTTCTCACGTTCCCCTGCCCATCTTACAGAGGTCATAGCATCCCAGGGCTGCAAAGGGACATTAGAGGTCATCCAGTCCAACCCCCTGCACAGGGCAGGGGGCCTTATTCTGATTTTTTTTTTCCTTCTGCCAAAAGGGAAATCGGGATGTGCTAAGCTAATATGACCGCAGGAAACACAGAAATGTTTTAGCACTGGGGTCCCCAACCTGTGGGCCGCTGTGGCCACTGGGCCATGGAACAGGCTGGCCAGTGCGCACGTGTGTGTGCGCGCAGCCCCTAACTTGTCCTAGTGCTGTGGGGCGCAAAACGAGGCCGTGCCATGGGGCGCAAAAACTGGTTGATGCCACACCTCAGGGCACAAAAACAGGACACTGCGACACGGCGGGGTTGGAAAAGAGGACGCCGCTGCACCACCGGGCACATAAACGGGCCGCCACTGTGCTGCAAGGCGCAAAAAGGGTTGCTGCCACACTGCAGGGGCGCAGAAACAAGGCACTGCGCCACACAAGAATGGGGCAGGGCCCTAAAAAGTTGTCTTGTATGTATCCTAATTTACAGCCCAAATGCTGGAGATGTGGTAGTTTGGATGCTACTTATTTTCATATCTGGTGGACTGGTAGAAATATAAAAGCTTTCTGGATTAAGATTTGGTGGAACATTCAAAAGATTTTTAGGAGAAAGATAAAGCTTACTCCACAATTATTTTTATTGGGTGTTATTGTAGATTGTGATGCTAAAGAAATTAATTTGATGTTGAATTTGATAACAGCTGCAAGGTTATTGGTAGGGCAATATTGGAAGAAGGATTGTTTGCCTACTACAGTGGTCCTCAACCTATGGGTCGGGACCCCATTTGGGGTCAAACAACCATTTCACGGACGGCCACCGCCCGCACATGATTTGCAGAAAATTGAAAAACAGCGCACAATAAATATCACAGAATAAAATTTGAAATGTCCGGATTGCTTTCTTCTTCCTGCCTGCCCACCTCGCCACAAGACAGGGCGATAATTTTGAAATCCTTGTTTCGCATTGCAAAAACCTTCCAAGATTTCACCTAACATGTCCGGCTTTTTGGCTTAATGCAGAAGTCAGGGGAAATGCTGCTTTATTAAGCACAGAATAGTGTTTCTCAGGTTATCGACTTCAGCTCCCAGAATTCTCCAGCCAGCATTGCTCGCTGGTGAATTCTGGGAGTTGAAGTCCAGATCTCTTTAAAATTCCCACGGTTGAGGAAAACTATTAGAGTATGCACAGTCTTATTGTGCTGAGGTAACCCAGAAGTAAATACAATAAACAGTGCTTTGTATTAAATGTGGGTTATATTGCACACTATCTACAACAGTGGTTCTCAACCTGTGGGTCGGGACCCCATTTGGGGTCGAACGACCATTTCACGGGGGTCACCAAACAACGCAGTCTGCCATTTTCCCCCCCTTTTCCTTAGCTGTGCTCCTCCCTTTTATTCTATTGGCTTTTGAAAGCTAATAGAATAGATTCTCTTGAATAGAGTCTCATTCTATTGGCTTTCAAAAGCCAATAGGAATTGTTCAGGCTGTCTCTGCCCTGCTGAGCCCGCCAAAAGTCCCATTCTGCAAACAGTGCTGCACCAGTTGAGTAGTCCTCGACTTACGACCGGTTGAGTAGTCCTCGACCTACGACCGGTTGGGGGTCGCGGCATTAAAAAGGTTGAGAACCACTGCTCCAGCCAAATGGCTGAGCTAACGAGAGCGTACCAGGCCACCAAATTTTCCCCTCCTCGCCAGCGCGCAACTCCCTGATGGAGGAACTCATCCATTGATCGCCCAGCCTGCGACAGCTACCATTCAGGAGGTAAACCACACTGCTAGTCCTCATCTTAACGACCACGATTGAGCCCAAATGCTCTGTGGCTAAGCAGGGCATTCATTAAGTGATTTTTGGCCCGTTTTACGCAAAGTATAATGACACGCAAATCGAGACGGAAAACGGGTTCACTTCACATCCATGTGAACTAATTTAACAACCGCGGCGATTCGGTTCACAAAATGGGACGAGGAAAGTCGTAAAAAAAATGGGGCAAAGCTCCCTTAACAAATGTTCTCACTTAGGAACGTAAATTTTGGGCTCGGTTGTGGTCGTAAGTGGAGGATTGCCTGTATTTGCAGGTTGAAATGCAAGTTCCTCACCCAACCCCGTTCGTGATGCCAAGGTGGCTTCTTGCAGACCTTCAACTTTGATCAAGTCTCTTTGCGTTCTTCTCTCCTTAAACAATTGTGGGGTTTCTCCTGATCTCTTCCAATCCAGAACCATCGTTCTGTCAGGGGAGGTCCTCTTTTTCAAGTCCACCCTCCTCTTCTTCGCTCTCTCCCCCCCCCCAGGGAGCAAAGAGAAGATTCCTTCCAAATCTGGCACGTGCTGTTGGGTCAGAATAGAATGACAGAGTTGGAAGGGACCTTGGAGGTCATCTAGTCCAACCCCCTGCTCAGGCAGGAAACCGTATACCATTTTAGATAAATGGCTCTCCAATCTCTTCTTAACAAACTTCCAATGCTGAAGCATTCCCAACTTCTAGCGGCAAGTCGTTCCACTGGTTAATTGTCCTCGCCGTCAGGAAATTTCTCCTTAGTTCTAGGTTGGTTCTCTCCTTGATTAATTTCTGTCCGTTGCTTCTTGTCCTGCTTTCTGGTGCTTTGGAGAATAGCTTGACTCCTTCTTCTTTGGGGTAGCCCCTGAGATACTGGAAGGCTGCTATCATGTCCCCCCTCGTCCTTCTCTTCATTAAACTGGACATCCCCAATTCCGGCAACCATTCCTTATATGTTTTAGCCTCCAGTCCCCTAATTATCTTGGTTGCTCTCTCTCTGCACTCTTTCTAGAGTCTCAACATCTTTTTTTACATCGTGGTGCCCCAAACTGGATGCAGTATTCAAGCGCGGCCTTACCAAGGCCTTGTAAAGTGGTATTAGCACTTCACGTGATCCTGATTCTATACCTCTCCTTCTTCAACTCCCAATTCAGACAACCAAGAAAACCTTGCAGGCAACCCGGCCTCCATTCCTTGGCTTTTATTCGGCGGGTCCTCTTGCAAAGAGCCGAAGAGTCTTACTCATCCTTTTCCACTTTGATCTCCACAAACGAACTGAGCTCGGGGCCGAAAGCTTTGTGGCTGGGGAGGTGGGCTGGGGTGCCCGTTCTGGGGTCTTCTTCTTGAAAACGGGGGTTGTAGAGCTGCGGGGGCAGACGCTGGACTTCCGCTGAGGGCACGCGCTCGGAGGGCGGCCCGTACACCCGGTTGGCTTTGGTGCCGTGCTTCGAGTTGGCATCCAGGCGGTAGCAGAGCTGAGTGAGCGGCGTCGCTCGGAAGCGTGGGGGCCGTGCCACCCACACGCCGGGTTTGTGGGCGCTGTCTTCCTCGTCCGACATCAGCTCTTCCGTTACCCCTTGCCACAGTTGCTGCTCTTCCGAGCCCAACAGCCGGGCCACCGCGGAACGGTTGGCAAAAAGCTGGAAAGAAAGAAAGAAAGAAGAGAGGTTAGCTCTTCCTGGATTGCAATCACAACGGGCCTTCGCTCCTGTCGCTGCCCACCCGTCTGTCCTCCTCTGTTGCCAGGTAGTCCTTGACGGACGGCGACAATTGAGCCCCAAATTGTCTGAAATGATCTAGGGCAGAGGTCCCCAACCCCCGGTTGCATGCCAGCAACCGGTCTGCACAAACAAGCAAAGCCCCATCTGTGAGATGCAGGCAGCAGACAAAGCTACGGATTCTCGGTCCGCGGAAAAACTAACTCTCTCCACGGAACCGGTCCGCAGTGCCCAAAAGGTTGGGGACCTCTGATCTAGGCTGTTCGACTTGAGCAGGGGGTTGGACTAGAAGATCTCCAGGGTCCCTTCCAACTCTGTTATTCTGTTATGACAGTGGTTCTCAACCTGTGGGTCGGGACCCCATTTGGGGTCGAACGACCATTTCACAGGGGTCGCCAAACAACGCAGTCCGCCATTTTTCCCCCCCTTTTCTTTAGCTGTGCTACTCCCTTTGATTCTATTGGCTTTTGAAAGCCAATAGAATAGACTCTCTTGAATAGAGTCTAATTCTATTGGCTTTCAAAAGCCAATAGGAATTGCCCAGGCTGTCTCTGCCCTGCTGAGCCCGCCAAAAGTCCCATTCTGCAAACGGTGCTGCACCAGTTGAGTAGTCCTCGACTTACGACTGGTTGAGTAGTCCTCGACTTATGACCGGTTGAGTAGTCCTCAACTTACAACCGGTTGGGGGTCGCAGCATTAAAAAAGTTGAGAACCACTGTGTTATGAGGAACGTAGCCATCTTTTGAGAGGAAGAAAGAGTTGACACAAATAGCCCTTCCTGGATTATCACAACGGCCTTCACAGTTGATAAGATAAGATAACCTTTATTGTCATTTTTATACTGTGGGCACAACGGCACACATCAAAAACGAAATTGAGTTGCCCGCTCTCCAAGTGAAACACATACACGACGCACACCTAAACATACTGTGAACAACATACCTATAGACCCACATCCCTACCTATACGTAGCGAATAAATATTAAATATTGTCCATCTTGAATATGTAACGCAGTGGTTCTCAACCTTTTTAATGCCGTGACCCCCCCCAACCGGTCGTAAGTCGAGGACTACTCAACCAGTCGTAAGTCGAGGACTACTCAACTGGTGCAGCACCGTTTGCAGAATGGGACTTTTGGCGGTCTCAGCAGGGCAGAGACAGCCTGGACAATTCCTATTGGCTTTTGAAAGCCAATAGAATTAGACTCTATTCAAGAGAGTCTATTCGATTGGCTTTCAAAAGCCAATAGAATCAAAGGGAGGAGCACAGCTAAGGAAAAGGGGGAAAAAAATGGCGGAGTGCGTTTGGCGACCCCTGTGAAATGGTCTTTCGACCCCAAATGGGGTCCCGACCCACAGGTTGAGAACCACTGCTATAGACCCACATCCCTACATATACGTAGCGAATAAATATTAAATATTGTCCATCTTGAATATGTAACGCAATGGTTCTCAACCTTTTTAATGCCGTGACCCCCCCCCAACCGGTCGTAAGTCGAGGACTACTCAACCAGTCGTAAGTCGAGGACTACTCAACTGGTGCAGCACCGTTTGCAGAATGGGACTTTTGGCGGTCTCAGCAGGGCAGAGACAGCCTGGACAATTCCTATTGGCTTTTGAAAGCCAATAGAATTAGACTCTATTCAAGAGATTCTATTCGATTGGCTTTCAATAGCCAATAGAATAAAAGGAAGGAGCACAGCTAAGGAAAAGGGGGGAAAAAATGGCGGACTGCATTGTTTGGCGACCCCCGTGAAATGGTCGTTCGACCCCAAATGGGGTCCCCACCCACAGGTTGAGAACCACTGCTATAGACCCACATCCCTACATATACGTAGCGAATAAATATGAAATATTGTCCATCTTGAATATGTAACGGAAGGAGGAAGCTTGAGAATTCACAAGGTTAATGCTGTATGGAATGAAACTATGGCTGAATCTGGATGTTCGGCTATGGAAACCACAGAGCCCCCCGCCCCTCCCGTCCCAGAAGGTAACAAGGAAAACAGGTCGTGCAGAAGATGTGTAGTGTCCCAGACAATCTTACGGACCCTGCTCAAGCAGCGCTTCTGTGCTATGTCCTGGATGGGAGGGAGGGAACTGCCAATGATCTTTTTCGGCCATTCTCACCATTCTCTGCACCGCCTTCCTGTCTGAAGCAGTGATGCCTCCAAACCAGACTGTGATGCTGTATGACAGGATGCTTTCGATCGTCTCCCCTGTATAAAGTGGTGAGTTCAGGGGAAGGAAGATGTGCTCTTCTCATGCGGCGCAGAAAATGCAGGCGCTGCTGTGCCCGCTTCATCAGTGTCTCGCTGTTGAGCGACCAAGCCAGCCTACTCGTTAGCTGCACACCCAGGAATTTGATGCTGGTAACCATCTCCACAGGTGAATCATTAATGCACAGAGAAGCGTTGCTGTGCCTGCCTTTTCTGAAATCAACAATGATCTCTTTGGTTTTTTTCCGGTATTAAAAACTAGGCTGTTTTCCTTACCCCAGTTCACCAGCCCCTCAACCTCCTTTCTGTTGTTGAGTCATTTGTGAAGTGAGTTTTCCCCATTTTACCCCCTTTCTTCCCTCCGCTGCTAAGTGAATCACCGCAGCTGCTAAGTTAGCAACCCGGTCGTTAAGCAAATCTGGCTTCCCCCCTTGGCTTTGCTTGTCAGAACGTCGCAAAAGGGGATCGCGTGACCGCAAGACACAGCCAAGGTCATAAATATGAGCCAGTTGCCAAGTCTCTGAAATCTTGAACCCGCGATCGTGACGATGCCGCAAAGATCCTATGTCAACATCCAGCTCGCAGATCCAAATAAAACTTCCGTCTCTGAAAATCGTACGTTTACTGGATACACCGCACGGTTATGTCAAAGCAAAATTAACTCTGAGATCCCAACCCCAATTCATAGACGGAAGCAATCATTTTCCCAGACAAATTCCCCAACGTCTTACGCAGTCCGTTATCAACAAGTTCACTTTGTTATGGGAACCGTCTGCTTCAAATCCACACCTGTTCTGGTGTCCTTGAAAAGCTTTCAGGCTTTCACGGTCTTCAGCCGATTCACAGAAGTTTCATTTCTCCGTCGAATCCACTTGAAAGTAATACCTGCCCTCCCCCCTTAATCTAAAGGCAGGTTGAAACGCAGAGGCACGTAGCTTGCCCAAGTTTCATCCTTGGCATCCTAACCGTGAAAACAGTCGTTAAGTCAACATTTTGTAACTTCGGGCATTAAGCGAACGATCGGACATTGAGGACTATCCGTATTTTCTGTTGTTCTTTGCGTGTGTGCGTGCAAGACTCGGTCCCCTGCCCCACATTTGGCAGGCGGATTCGGGAAGTAGCCCCGTGGCAAAGAGGCAGAGCACATAGGCTTCACGGATCGGATGGCCGTGAATAATACAAATCCTTCTTGGCAGCCAAGGGAGGGTTGGAACAGGCGGGTCCCTTCGACGGGCCTGTAATTCCCCTTTGCTAATGCAAATGGCATCACACACACAGAGAGAGATACAAATACACACTCACACAGCAGCTGCTGCTAGGGAGGGGGCGGTGTGGGCGAGGGAAGCTTCGATGGATCACGACCAGCTCCATTTTTCCGCCTTTGGGAAGCCAAAGCGAGATCTTGGCTTCGCTGAACGAGATTGGAAAAATCAGCGGGATGCAGACATGTGGCAGGCTGGCTTCCCAAATTTTTTTGGGGGGTGGGTGGGAGCGTTTCTCTTCGCTGGCCACCTACCCTGTGCCCTGCACATTGGGGAATAAACCCTTCCTGATCTGAGAGGGCCCGTCAAAATTAAATATACAGGCAGTCTTCAGCTTACGGCCGCCATTAAGCCTGAGAGTTCTTCTGTTGCTAAGCAAAACAATCGTCAAGTGAGTTTCTGCCCCATTTTGTAACCTTTCTTGACACGGACGCTAAGCGAATCCCGGTGGTTGTTAAGTTAGGATCACGGTTGTTAAGGGAATCTGGCTCCCTCCCCATTGATTTTGCTTGTCAGAAGGTCAGAAAAAGGGATCCCACGATCCCGGGACGCTGAGACGGTTATAAATATGAATCAGTTCCAAGCGTTTAAATTTTGATCACGCGACCACAGAGATGCTGGCAGCAACGGTCATAAGGGTGAAAAATGGTCCTACGTCATTTTTTTTCAACGCTGTTGTAACCCTGAACGGTCACTAAATGAACCGTTGTTAATTTGAGGACTTACTGTACGCAGACAGTCCTCGATTTACAACCTCAGTGCTCAAATGCCGAGCAAGGCAGTCGTGAAGTGAGTTTGGCCTCATTTTACGACCTTGTGTGCCCGTTGGGGAATAAACCCTCCTGATCTGGGCGAGGCCATGAAGATGAAACACAGGCAGTCCTCACTTTACGACAAGAATTGAGCCCAACAGTTGTTCAGTGAACCCCTGCAGTTCTTAAGTTAGTTAGCACGGCTGTTAAGTGAATCGGACCACTTGGCTTGTTCGGAAGGTTGCAAAAGTGAATCATTGCAACCGTCATAAATACGAGTCAGTTGCCAGGAGTCTTGAATTTTGATCATGTGACCACGGGGATAGTGGAACGGTCGTGTGAAAAACAGTCATAATAATAATAATAATAATAATAATAATAATAATAATAATAATAATAATAATAATAATAAAGTTGGAAGGGGCCTTGGAGGTCATCAAGTCCAACCCCCTGCTCAGGCAAGTAACCCTATACCAGGAGGGGTAGGCAACCTTGGCCCCTTCATGACTCGTGGACTTCAACTCCCAGAATTCCTAAGCCAGCATAGCTCAGCTTGGAAACCTCTCCCTTTCCCCTCAGCGTGGCTGGCTCAGGAATTCTGGGAGTTGAAGTCTACCAGTCATAAAAGAGCCAAGGTGGCCTACCCCTGGCCTAGACCAGAGGGAACGATGGCCCCTTTTTATGACTCGTGGACTTCAACTCCCAGAATTCCTGAGCCAGCCATGCTGAGGGGAAAGGGAGAGGTTTTCAAGCTGAGCCACGCTGGCTCAGGAATTCTGGGAGTTGAAGTCCACAAGTTATAAAAAGAGCCAAGGTGGCCTACCCCTGCCCTATACCATTTCGGAGAAATGGCTGTCCAGTCTCTTCTTAAAAACTTTCAGTGTTGGAGCATTCACCGCTTCTGGAGGCAGGTGGTTCCACTGGCTAATTGTTCTAACCGTCAGGAAATTCCTCCTTCGTTCCAGGTTGCTTCTCTCCTTGGTTAGTTTCCATCCGTTGCTTCTTCTCCTGCCTTCAGGCGCTTTGGAAAATAGCTTGACTCCCTCTTCTTTGGGGCAGCCCCTGAGAGATTGGAACATTTTTTTTCAGGAGGCATCTGGGATTTTCTTATTTTTTTTTTCTTGGAAGACGTTTCAACAAGGAAGAGACCCAGGGCAGAAAACATCCCGCAGCCAAGAAGGCTCCACGCCCATTTGCACCACTCAGGTGACCCTGAGGTAAACCTCCAAGTGGCCTCAACGGCTCTCTAAAAGGAGACCAGCTGTCTGCAAGGAGTATAAATCCTTCCATCCTCCACCATCCCGTCAGAGCTGAAGAAGCTTCTGGGATAAGAAGTGAAACGTCTTCAAAGAAAAAAACAAAAAAATCCAGGTGCCTCTTGAAAAAAACCACCTTTGGGACAGCCATGAACTGGGTGACGGAGGATCTCCTTCGACATTTATTTTAAGATGAATATTGCTAAACAAGTCCCAGGCCCGAGAGCAGAGGACGGCGGGATGATGGAAGACGTTGACATCCCCTGTGTATATTTCTGCTGCGATCAACTGCAAAGCGGAGGGGCCACAACTTAAATCTAAATTAAACCCAGTAAAGGCTTAATCCCACCGTAATGTTGATAGACTGCCAGCCTTATCGTATATCAGCCCTGGAAGATAATGGAACTGGCACTTCAGTAAATACAATTAAAGGAAGGTCGTAAAAATGGAAGTTTGCATTTGGACATAAATACAGCGAAGGCCGAGTCGAAAAAAAAAAAAAGAGACACCAACGTTTTTATGGAGTCTAGAAGGAGAATTCCTCTCAGGGAGAAGCCCGAGATCAGCTTGCATTTAGCTATTTTAAATTTTAAAAGGTTTTATATTTGCATTTTAAATATTTCACATTTTCATAGGACACCGATCGGGCTGCCTTTGTGGACATTTGCTTTTAACATCTGTGTTTTGCCCCTTGGCTAAACCCCTATTATTCCATCACCCTCAGAGGCGGGGGGGGGGGGAGAAAATAGCTTTTTCTGGCTAGATTTCAGTCAAATATTGCTGCAATTTCCTCTTCCACATCAGGTGGAAAAAGCTTCAAAGTTTTTGTTTACAGACGCCCTGAAATAAAATCGATGGAAGCCTGCATTGACTTTTAAAACGTGATGAAACAGACACACGTACACACCCCGCCCCAAAGTAATAAACAGAGTAAGAGTGATTGGGTCACTTGCAACCAAATTACAGAATAACAAGAATTGGAGGGACCTTGGAGGTCTTCTAGTCCAACCCCCTGCTCAGGCCGCAATACCATTTCAGAGAAATGGTGGTCCAATCTCTCGTAAAAACCTCCAGTATTGGAGCACACCCATGACTTCTGGTGGCAAGCTGTTCCATTGGTTAATTGTTCTCACTGTCAGGAAATTTCTCCTTAGTTCTAGATGGCTTCTCTCTTGGATTAGTTTCCATCCGTTGTTTCTTGTCCTGCCTTCAGGTGCTTTGGAGAAGAGGTTGATCCCCCTCTTCTTTGTAGCAGCCCCCAAATGTTGGAAGACTGCTATCATGTCACCCCTAGTCCTTCTCTTTGTTAGACTAATAGAATAACAGAGTTGGAAGGGATCTTGGAGGTCTTCTAGTCCAACCCCTGCTCAAGCAAGAGACCCTATTCCATGTCAGACAAATGACTGTTCAATTTCTTCTTGAAAATCTCCAGTGATGGAGCACCCACAACTTCCAGTGGCAAGCCGTTCCACGGATTAATTAATCTCACTGTCAGGAAATTCCTCCTTAATTCCAGGTTGCTTGTCTCCTTGGTTAGTTTCCATCCATTGCTTCTTCTCCTGCCTTGAGATGCTTTGGAGAATAGGTTGACACCCCCTCCCCTTCTTTGGGGTAGCCCCTCAAATATTGGAAAGCTACTATCATGTCTGCCCTGGTCCTTCTTTTTGCTAGATTAGACACACCCAAGACGACACCAAGCTGGCAGGAATAGCCAACACTCCAGAAGACAGACTTAGGATACAGGAGGATCTGGACAGACTTGAAAACTGGGCGCTATCTAACAAAATGAAATTCAATGGTTCTACATATAGGCAAGAAAGGTTCTACATATAGGCAAGAAAAACCAAATGTATAGGTATAGTATAGGGGGTTCCTTGCTCAATAGTAGTAACTGTGAGAGGGATCTCGGAGCCCTGGTGGACAATGACTTAAATATGAGCCAGCTGTGTGCTGCAGCTGCCAAAAAAGCCAACACAGTGCTAGGCTGCATTAACAGAGGGATAGAATCAGGATCAGGTGAATTATTAATACCACTTTACAAGGCCTTGGTAAGGCCACGCTTGGAATAGGGCGTCCAATTTTGGTCACCACGATGTAAAAAAGATGTTGAGACTCTAGAAAGAGTACAGAGAAGAGCAACAAAAATGATTACGGGACTGGAGGCGAAAACATATAAGGAACAGCTGCTGGAATTGGGGATGTCTAGTTTAACGAAGAGAAGGACGAGGGGGGACATGACAGCAGTGTTCCAATATCTCAGGGGCTGCCCCAAAGAAGAGGGAGTCAATCTATTCTCCAAAGCGCCCGAAGGCAGGACAAGAAGCAACGGATGGAAACCAATCAAGGAGAGAAGCAACCTGGAACTAAGGAGAAACTTCCTGACCGTTAGAACAATTAACCAGTGGAACAACCTGCCTCCAGAAACGGTGAATGCTCCAACACTGGAAGTTTTTAAGAAGAGACTGGACAGCCATTTGTCCGAAATGGTATACGGTTTCCTGCCTGAGCAGGGGGTTGGACTAGATGACCTCCAAGGTCCCTTCCAACTTCATTATTATTATTAAAACCTATGGATATTGCCGAGCCTTACCCGATACCGTCGGCTGCGTAATTTCTTCTCCTCTTTCTCCTTAAGCCCTTTGAAGGGATTCAGAGAATTCCGATATTCGCGTCGCTTGGTCAAAAAGTAGGCCACACAGGCACCTAAAAGAAGAAAAGTGTGTCTGTGCGCAAGGGTACACAAATCAGCAACCCCAGAACGCCAGAATTAGGGTCACTCTAGAATAGCCGGAGGCCGCTATAAATGCATCTCTCTCTGTGCATGCAATTCAACCTTTCAAATATCATCCATCAGTTTCAGAATAAACGCCAGAAGCTTTTTCTAAAGCCGAAGGAAAAAAATGTTCCATTTAGCGAAGGAAAAGGAATATAATTATTTAGATGGGGGTGGGGAAGGGAGGGGGCGATAAATTTGGAAAGCAGGTAGTCCTTAACTTACGACCAAAATTTCTCTTGTTCTGAGCCAGGCATTTGTTAAGTGAGTGTTGCTCCGTTTTACGACCTGTCTTGCCACAGTTGTTAAGCGGCATACTGCGGTTGTTAAGTCGGTTGTGAAGAGAATCTGACTTTACTTGCCTCCAGGTCACAAAAGGGGATCACGCAATCCCGGGACGCAGCAACTGTTATTAATACGAAAGTCGCCAAGCCGCTGAATTTCAACCCGTAACCATGTGCAACGTTCGTAAGTGAAAAACGGTCAGTCACTTTTTTTTCAGTGCTGTCGTAACTCCAAACAGGTCACTAAACGAAGCGTGGCTAAGCTGAGGACTACATGTCCGTTCTAGCAGCAAAACCCAGAAACCAAATGGGTGGAAAAATTCAAAATAAATAAATAAATTTTTAAAAAATCCAACCCAAGCTCACCTTTTAGTTCTTTATCCGTATAATTATGGTGATTGGAAACCAATTCGTGTCTGAGTTTTTCCAGCAAAAACTTCACTACCGAAATATTCCAGGATGATTTAATACTGCAAAAGAAAGAACAGACTAAATAGCCCAGCAGGTGAAGAACGGGAAACTTCAAAAATGAAGCTAAAAAAATTAGCGTAAAATAATGATGATGTAATAATAATAATAAGACAAATGCATACACGGTCAAAATTGAGAAGACAGCAACAGACAGTAAGTGCCGCCTATGCAAAGAAGCGGAAGAAAAGTGGACCACCTGGTAAGCTGCTGCAAGAAGATTGCACAGACTGACTACAAGCAGCGGCATGACAAAGTAGCAACAATGGTGCATTGGAAGATCTGCAAGAAATATCATTTGTCTGTAAGCCAGAACTGGTGGGATCATAAAATAGAGAAAAATCATAGAAAATGATAAAATTAAACTGCTCTGGGATTTCGGAATTCAAACAGACAAGCACCTGCAACATAACACCCCGCACTTAACAATTGTTGATAAGAAAGACCAAAAAAAAAAGTCTGGATAGTGGACGTGGCAGTGCCTGGAGACAGCAGAATAGAAGAGAAAGAGCTGGAGAAGATAACAAAATACAAAGACCTACAAATAGAAATAGAAAGACTGTGGCAAAAGCAAGCAAGGGTAGTACCAATAGTCATAGGCACTATTGGGTGCAATCCCAAAACAACTGGAGCACCACTTGGACACCATTGGCATAGACAAATTCGCTATCAGTCAATTGCAAAAGGCGGCCTTACTAGGAACGGCTTCCATCCTGCGACGATATCTGTAATACCATCAAACATCCACATCTGCCTATCCCAGGACTCGATAGGTAGACAAAAATGCCAAATCCAGTCTGAACATCTGGCTGACTATGCGATGATCAATAATAATAATAAAGTTGGAAGGGACCTTGGAGGTCATTTAGTCCAACCCCCTGCTCAGGCAGGAAAACCTAGATCATTTCAGACAAATGGTTGTCCAGTCTCTTCTTAAAAATTTCCAGTGTTGGGAGCCTTCACAATAACGTCACTAAAAGACTGATGCTGTTCTGGGGAAAGGACAGATCTTATGGCCATTTTTTCACACTTATGATCGTTGTAGCAGGGTCATGTGATCCAAATTCGGACGCTTGGCAACTGATTCATATTTACGACAGTTGCGGTGCCCCAGGGTCGCGTGATCCCCTGACAAGCAAAGACAATGGGGGAAAGCCGTATTCATTTAACAACTGTGTTCACTAACTCAACTGTGGCAAACCAGGTCGTAAAAATGGGACAAAAACTCACTTAACTCTCTTGCTTAGCAATGGAAATGTTTGCGGTTGTAAGTTGAGGACCTACCGGTACAGTTTTCCATTTTAGATAGCAAAGCGCTGCTCTCCGTTGATAAAACGCTTTTGCACATAATCTATAAATCAGACGCTGCTGATAATGATGGATTATGGGATCCACTTTTTCCCTGGAAGCAGGCAGACAGATAAATGAAGAAAAAAAAAAACACCTTTGCTGGCTTTGTGTGTTAGACAACAACCGACACACTCTTGGACTGCACAAGTGATAGAAAACACCATACCATCTGCTGCTTGCTTTGTTCCAAAGCTCCCGATAGCCTTCTTTGACGGGAAAGTAAGATCCCAAGACGATAAAGATATATAGGTTAGTCCTCAACATACACCCACAACAGAGCCCAAAATTTCTGTCACTAAGTGAGACAATGGTTGAGTTTTGCCCAGTGGTGGGATTCAGCCAGTTCGCACCACTTCGGCAGAACCGGCCGCTAATTTTTTGTTGTCCCGACCCAGAATGGACTTCCGGAAGCGGCATCCACACAGAGAACCGGTTGTTCACCTATCTGAATCCCACCACTGGTTTTGCTCCGGTTGTTAAGTGAATCACATTAGGAACACAGTTCTTAAGTGAATCTTAACTTCCCCATTGACTTTGCTTGTCAGAAGATCACAAAAGGAGATAGCGTGACCCCCAGGACGCTGCGACCATCATAAACCTGTTCTATCCCAGCCTATTGCCACAAGGACCAAACCCCTGCTAATACAATAGGCTGGAGACTTTAAAACAAAACAAACCCCTTTTAATATGGGTGACAAACCTGTCAAATAGTCCAAAAACACAAACAGCAAAACTCAAGTCCAAAGGAAGGAAACAGTCCACAGGAAACACGATGCAAACAGAAGAGTAGTCACAAGCAAGACGAACAGACCAGGATCCAAAGAAGTACTTTGCAAACGGTTGCCTTCAGCAACCAGCACCGCCCACACCTCCTCTTTTTATACAGCAATCCCAAGGCGTTGCCTCTCATTGCCTTCTCCTTTTACTCTGGAGTTGCCATATTGACTGCTGCTGATTTACTCTCGCTAATTGACGATGCGTGTGAGCATCAATTAGCAAGTCCATCAGGTGTGAGTCCTCCGAGTTTGACTCATTCTCCTCACACAGCTGAGCTTCATCAGGATGACTGGAGGGCCCAGGCTCTGCATCAAACCGTCAGTCCTGTAATTCATCAGAGGCTCCCTCTGCCCCTGATGGCCCTTCAAATGCCTCCTCCACCTCCTCCTCAGATCCCTCAGACTCAGCTGTTGGGAGCACAGGCTGGCACGGAATCACAACAAAACCTGAACTCGTAGCCCTGTGGCTGAATTTTGATCCAGTGACCACGGACATGCTGCAACGGTCGTTAAGTGTCAAAAACTGGTCCTACGTCACTTTTTTCGTTGCCGTCTGAACGGCTACTAAACGAATGGCCATAAAGTCGAGGACTGCCTGCAATTAGCAAAGCCTTATTCATTTCATTTTTCCCTCACAGTGGCTCACCTTTCTGCGCCATCAAACCGCTTCTCGTTGGCGACGTGGTTGTGAACGTTGTGGACCAATTTCTGCAAAGGGAAAGAGAGAAGAAGGTGAAATTCAGCCGAATTTTATGCCGTTCAGTCCCGGGTGATGAAAAACACGATTCAGACAAGCCTTCGGATCCAAACGGCGGGTGTGTTGTGGGTCACAAGCTCGGCCGTAATAATAATTATTATGATTATTATAATAATTGTGGGGTTTCTCCTGATCTCTTCCAATCCAGAACCATCGTTCTGTCAGGGGAGGTCCTCTTTTTCAAGTCCACCCTCCTCTTCTTCACTCTCCCCCCCCCACCCAGGGAGCAAAGAGAAGATTCCTTCCAAATCTGGCACATGCTGTTGGGTCAGAATAGAATGACAGAGTTGGAAGGGATCTTGGAGGTCATCTAGTCCAACCCCCTGCTCAGGCAGGAAACCCTATACCATTTTAGATAAATGGCTCTCCAATCTCTTCTTAAAAATTTCCAATGTTGAAGCATTCCCAATTTCTAGTGGCAAGTCGTTCCACTGGTTAATTGTCCTCGCTGTCAGGAAATTTCTCCTTAGTTCTAGGTTGCTTCTCTCCTTGATCAGTTTCCATCCGTTGCTTCTTGTCCTGCCTTCATCCGCCTTGGAAAATAGCTTGACTCCCTCTTCTTTGGGGCAGCCCCTGAGATACTGGAAGACTGCTATCATGTCCCCCCTCGTCCTTCTCTTCATTAAACTAGACCAGGGGTAGGCAACCCAAAACACTCAAAGAGCCACTTGGACCCGTTTCCCACCAAAAACAAAACACTGGGAGCCGCAAAACCCTTTTGATATCTAAAATGAAGATAACACTGCATATATCCTTTTTTACCTTTATTATAGGTGTGTGTATGTGTATGTGTGTGTGTGTGTGTGTGTATGTGTGTATACACACACACACACACACACACACACATAGACACATTAAAAATAAAAGTAAAAATATCACTCTTGGGAATATCCATACTATTAAAACAATGATCACCAAGAGAATGCTTTAAGAGAATAAAATTACATACACACAAAGATAAAAAAAGGATATATGCAGTGTTATCTTCATTTTAGACGTCAAAAGGGTCTCTCTCTCCCTCCCTCTCTATCTGCCCTTGGTCTGCCACTCCTCTTCCCCCACTCACTCTCTCTCCCCCCCCTCTCTCTTTCTCTCTCTCTCTTTCTCCCCCCCCCCTCCTATCTGCTGCTCACCTGGCAAACTTCAAGCTGTTGTCCAACAACCTCCGGGGTAGGCAACCTCGTCTCTTTTATGACTCATGGACTTCAACTCCCAGAATTCCTGAGTCAGCCTAGCTGGGCTAGCTAGCTCTCTCCTGCCCTTCCTGCTTCCTGCTTCCTTCAGAGACGCAGCAAAGGGAGGAGCTCCGCCCAGAAAGCTTTTCAGCTCCTCGGAGGACACTGTGAGTGCACTCTCTTGTACACATACACACACACACACACAACACACACACATCCAGACACACACACACACACACACAGAGAGAGAGAGAGAGAGAGAGAGAGAGAGAGAGAGAAGCAGGGAAGTGCAATTGCCTCTCTCTGTCTCTGTCTCTCTCTGCAAAGGCAGAGGAGGCTGGGAGCCACAGGGGAAGGCTCAAAGAGCCGCATGCGGCTCCGGAGCCGCAGGTTGCCGACCTATGAACTAGACCAGTGGTTCTCAACCTTTCTAATGCTGCGACCCCATAATACAGTTCCCCATGTTGTGGTGACCCCCAGCCACTAATACATCACCGGGTGCCAGGGGCGTGGCCAAAGAAAAGGGGGAAAAATGGCGGACAGCCTTGTTTGGCGACCCCCGTGAAATGGTCGTTCAACCCCAAATGGAGTCCCGACCCACAGGTTGAGAACCACTGAACTAGACATACCCAATTCCAGCCAACGTTCCTTATATGTTTTAGCCTCCAGTCCCCTAATCCTCTTTGTTGCTCTTCTCTGTACTCTTTCTAGAGTCTCAACATCTTTTTTACATCGTGGTGACCAAAACTGGATGCCGTATTCCAAGCATGGCTTTACCAAGGCGTTGTAAAGTGGTAGGAAAGGAAGTCAACTCACGGACAAGACCAGATCCCGTTTGCGCCTGGCGTTCTTCTGCCCGATGTTTCTACTCCTGCAAGGGAGACTGGCGAAGCCTACAGAGAAATAGGGTTCGCCATTCGGGGTCTCCTCCTGAGTCGCGCTGATGGGGGACCCCTCTGGACAAGAGAGGGGCTCATCCAGAGATTGCAGAAGTGGCTGATGGGCCATCGGTGGAGTAGGGGAAGCAGGAGGAACATAGACCGGCGGCATTGGGGCATCTCCTGGAGGACATTCCTCGGCTACCTGGCGGGAAAGGGAGAATTATACACGTCCTGCACAAACGGGAGTCCCCTTTGCTGGTAGTCCTCGGCTTACGACCACAACGGACCCCCCCCCCAAATTTTCATTGCTAAGCGAGACAGTTGATGTACCAATCCATTGACAGCGCACAAAAACGGAGACCAAAATTGTCGTCGTTTGGCGAAAACAGTCGTTCAGGGAGCTTCGTCCCATTGTACGACTTTGCTTGCCACAGTTGTTAAGTTAGGAACGCGGTTGTTAAGTGAATTCGGCTTTCCCCATTGGCTTGACTAGTGAGAAGGTCGCAAATGGGGGATCACATGACTCCGTGACGCTGCAAATGTCATAAACAGGAACGAAGAGTCAGACTTTTGAGCATGTGAAGTTGGGGGAATGCTACAACAGTCCTAAGTATGTGAAAACTGGTCGTAAGTCGGTTTGTTCAGTGCCATTGTAACTTTGAACGGTCGCTAAACAAATTGTTGTAAGTCGAGGACTCCCTGTGTTCCAATTTCCAACCGTCTCTGCTTTAGCACTTTGAGAGGAGGGGCAGCAAACAGCCCCCAGTTCCTTGAAACATACTTTTCATGCCACGCTATCCTTGAAAACTCTACTCCTTTACAGTCTTCCTACGTACATGCATAAACAAGGAGATTCGTTGGAACATTGGAGATAGTCCTCGACTTACGACCATTTGCTTAGGGCCTGTTTGAAGATGCAGAGGCACTGAAAAAAAATGATTAATGACCAATCTCCACACTTATGATTGTTGCAGCATCCTCTTGGTCACATGATCCAAATTATGGACCCTTGGCAACCAGCGGGCGTTTACGACGGTTGCAGCACCCCGTGGTCATTCATGATCGCTGTTAGCAACCATCCCAGAGGGTTTCCGACGTGTAAAATCAGCGGGGGAAGCCGGGTTCGCTTAATGATGATTCACTTAACAACACACAGCGATTCGCTTAACTGCCCGCGAAAATGAAGGGCGTAACATTGGTCCCAACTGCCTCGGGGAGCAGCAGAATTCTGCTCCCATTTGCCGTCGTAAGTCGAGGACTAGAAAGGCAAAATCTACAACGCTCTGAACACACAAAGCCTCTCCTGATCGTGCCAGGCCCAAATGAGCACCCGAGGCTGCGAGGCGGTTTTCCTCGTCCTGCCGGAAGATTTTCCCACGCTCCTTTGCTGCCAACCCTCCTCCAGCTCAGCCTAAACACATTTGCTGCGAGCAGCACCAAACCCAGTTCCAGCTTGGCCTAGGGTGGTGCTGCCAGCCATGGCAGGGTTTTCAGCTCCCGATGCAGCTTCTCCAGCCCAGATTTGGCGCCACTCCCAGATTGCCACTCTGTGGAGGACGGGTTGGCAGGGAGTGCAAGAAACGCCATCCACTATTCATGATGCCATCTGTGCCCGACCGGAGGGACGGGGCTACGGCTCAGATTTGACCGGACGGGAGAGACGGAGGCCCCCAATTCCAGGCTACGTACTCCGCCAAGGGCCGATACGGGCGAGAAGGCCAAAGATTCGGATCGCCCCACTGCAGCTGATGCGGCTCCCAGCTGCCTCAATTCCTCGATGACCACCTGGACGCCGTTCCCGAACCCTTCGGCCTCCGATTCTTCCTCGTCTTCGGGCTCCGCTTGCTGCTCCTCGGGGCTGGCTTTGGGGGCCACGAGGGGCCCCTGGCGCAGGGCCGCCACGTCTTCCTCGAGGCGTCTCAGGGCTTCGTTGTTGGCCCTCGCCAAGCTCAGCGCCAGTTCGGCTAAGCTGACCGCCTTTTCCACCCGCTGGTAGATGAGGTGGAGCAGCTGCTCCGAGGACTGGACCGTCAGCCCCGTGCCCGTGACGGTGATGGGGGTGCACGGAGGGGACGATGGGGGCAGGGGTGGCGGAGCCGTGGCAGGACCCTCTGGCTCCTGCTTGCAAGTGCCACAGCAGCATTTGGCTTCTTTCCCGTGGGACGGGGAGAACAAGATGGTGGCGCTGAACGACATGGGAGCTGGAACCCAGATTTTGTGGGACCGGCAGATCCGGGTAGAAGCAAAGATGGCTCCGGGGCGGATCGGAGAGCCTCAGGAGAGAATCCGCCCCAAAGACACCAGACTGCCGAAAGGGGGAAAAAAAAACATCAAGGAAAATAAAGCAACTGGATGAGCGCAGCTCAGTGTCAGCCGTGCAACTTTGCAAGGTCGCAAGTGGCCTTTTGGGGAAAATCATGGCGGTTTCGAACCACAGTCTCCAAACAATTTCCCACCACCCAGATTGACACGAAAGCCAAAGAGAGCAAAAGAGAACCAGCTTGGTTTAATGGTAAAGGCACCAGGCTAGCAGTCAGGAGGCTGTGAGTTCTAGTCCTGCCTTACCTATGAAAGTCAGCTGGGTGACTTTGGTCCAATCACCAGGAGACGGTGAGTTCTAGTCCTGCCTTAGGTGTGTCAGCTGGGTGACTTTGGTCCAATCACCAGGAGACGGTGAGTTCTAGTCCTGCCTTAGGTGTGTCCGCTGGGTGACTTTGCGCCAATCACCAGGAGACTATGAGTTCTAATCCTGCCTTAACTATGAAAGTCATCTGGGTGACTTTGAGTCAATCACCAGGAGATGGTGAGTTCTAGTCCTGCCTTAGGTGTGTCATCTGGGTGACTCTGGGCCAATCACCAGGAGACGGTGAGTTCTAGTCCTGCCTTAGGTGTGTCCGCTGGGTGACTTTGGGCCAATCACCAGGAGACTGTGAGTTCTAGTCCTGCCTTACATGTGTCATCTGGGTGACTTTGGGCCAATCACCAGGAGACGGTGAGTTCTAGTCCTGCCTTAACTATGAAAGTTATCTGCGTGACTTTAAGCCAATTATCAGGAGATGGTGAGTTCTAGTCTCACCTGAGACATGAAAGCGGGCTGGGTGACTTTGGACCAATCACCAGGAGACGGTGAGTTCTAGTCCCGCCTTAGGCATGAAAGCCAGCTGGATGACTTTGGGACAATCCCTCCCTCTCTCTCTCTCTCTAAACAACAAGGTGGTTGTTGTGGGGAAAATCGGAGGAGGACGTTGCGTTGGAGATGTTCACCGCCTTGAGCTCTTTGTAAAAAAATAAAAGTCGGGACCCAAATAAATAATAAAAAATCAATACAGCCGGTCAAGCCACTTCGAAACTGATGCCAGAGGCCATTTAAAAGCCGAAAACCTTCCAGATCCTACAGGCCTCTCTCGCCTTGCCATTTCATCTGAATTGTGGTGTCATTTTGGCTCTCTGCCACCACGACGGAAACTCTATTAACTCACTGCTGACCTCTTGTAAATTTTATTCACGGCCTCCTGAGTGTCTTGTCAATGGACTCTCCCAATTAACTCAGTGCTGAGAAGGAGACAACGGAGGGACTAGTAGAAGATTTTTCAAAAAACAAGAATTTTCACGGCTAACCGAATGTTCAGCGTCTTCGGGGACCGTCGGAAACCTATCAGCAAACTCCGATAAAGCTTTGATTCGATGTCTGTTACCTCGGCACATTACAGGTGGTCCTTGACTTACAAGCACTTGTTTAGTGACCGCTGGAAGTTACTATTAGCGCGGAAAAAAAGCGACGTTGTTCACACTTAACGACCGTTGCGACTTTTCCCGTGGACCCGTGATCAAAATTCAGACGCTTGGCAACCGACTCATATTTACGACGGTCGCAGCATCCCCGGGGGGGGTGTCAGGCGATCCGCTCTTGCGACCGTCTGACAAGCAAAGTCAACGGGGGAAGCCGGATTCACTTAACGTCGGCGTGACTAATTTAACAGCGGCGGCGATTCCGTTAACAAAGGTGACAAGAAAAGTCGTAAAATGGGGGCAAAGCGCCCTTAACAAATGTCTCTCTTAGCAACAGAAATGTTAGGGTCAATTGTGGTCGTTAAGTCGAGGATTACCAGTATGCTGAATAAATCTGGCAAAATGATTAGCAAAATTATGGGCATTGTCTTTCAAAGATAATACAGGAAGTCCTCAGCTTACCGCCACAACAGAGCCGAAAATTTTACGACCTTTCCCACTGATTGCTAATAAGTGTGAAAAACAGTAATGTCACTTTTTTCAGCGCCATAGTAATGTCGGTCACTAAATGAAGGCTTATAAATCAAGGACCTTTACTGTGCCTTCAGGATCACTTTGTCCCTTCTCTCTCTCTAATAACTTATTCACTAAACTTGCAAAAACATCTTCAGGCCAAAACTAACCCGCCACATGTCAGCGGGGGTCTATCTATCTGTTAGCTTTTGCCTCTGTTCACACAACACGCTTAACCTGACTCCAGGGTTGGCCGATTTTTCTGGATGGCAGAGCACACCCCAGCCTAAACTATAACCACAGTCAAAATAAATCTAAATCGGCTGAGCATCCTGCAGGAAGATGGGCTCTAAACCTCTGAACGGCTTCCCGAAGCGTGCTCGAGAAGCACGGGGGGGGGAAGTCGTGGGAATCATCCTAGGGGGGGCAGAAACTGGAATTCAGATGGTGTTGCCAAAAAAAAAAACAAAAAAAAAACTCCCGGGTCAACCCGTTCACACGACGCGCGGGCGACCCAGGTCCCGTGTTCAAAGGCTGGGAATCGAACGCCGCGGCCGCCCAACGTTCCATCCCGCGTGTACAGCGCGAGGGAGAAGCTACCCGCGCGCCAGGCAGCTCGCCAGCTAGCCGTGTACAAACCGAAGCGGCTGTTGGTCTCCGCCCTTTTTCTTTCCGATTGGCCGGCGCGATGGAGCTAGGCGTATCTGATTGGCTGCGTGCCCTGGCGCCTTGCCCCGGAGACAAGAAGAGGAGGGGACAGGCGCCCAGAGGGGGAGAAGGGGCGCCTGAGGGAGGCTCGCGAGGCTGGACTCTTTTCAAGGCCGCTTCTGCAAATCAAGACTCCGGCTACTCTATGGTATTTTCAGCCGGCCAGAGGGATCAAAACAGGGCCTGAGGTCAAAGTTCAGATGGTTTTCCTACTTGCCCCCCCCTCCAAAGCATCAGAACTAAAATAAACCTGCATCCTGGCAACATTTCCACCAATGACCCCAAGAAAGCTATTGGTTGTATAAACAGAGGCATAGAATCAAAATCAGGAGTCTTCAAACTTGGCCCTTTGATGACTTGTGGACTTCAACTCCCAGAATTCCTCAGCCAGGCACGCCTGGCTGAGGAATTCTGGGAGTTGAAGTCCACAAGTCATCAAAGGGCCAAGTTTGAAGGCCCCTGATCAAAATCATGGGAAGTATCAGTACCGCTTTGTAAAGCCTTAGTAAGGCCGCACCTGTAATCCTGAATCCAGTTTTGGTCACCACATAGTACAAAAAAAGAAAAAGAAAAAAGATGTAGAGACTTTGGAAAAAGTGCAGAGAAGAGCAACTAAGATGATTAAAGGCCTGGAGACTAAAACATAGGAAGAACAGTTGCAGGATTTGAGTCTGGCCAATCTAGAGAAAAGAAGGATTTGTGGGGGGGGGGAACATAACAGACATCTCCCAATATTGGAGGGGCTGCTGCAAAAAAGAGGGGAATCAATTTATTCTCCAAAGCACCAGAAGGCAAGACAAGAATTTAACAACTGCAGTGATTCACTTAACTGTGGCAAGAAAGAAATGTCGTAAAATGGGGCAAAGCTGACTTAACAACTAACTCACTTAGTCACAAAAAGTTTGAGCTCCATTGTGGTTGTAAATCGAGGAGTACCTGTACTCTCTTCTACTACACTCGTGGGACCCTCAGGATTCTCGCCTCATTGCATTATCTGCCACCATAAAGTCATTTTTTTTTTCCTCCCAAGCTATGCAAAAACATCAACGCTGTTGGAATTGGGGATGTCTAGTTCAGTGAAAAGAAGGACTAGGGGTGACATGTTAGCATTATTCCAATATCTCAGGGGCTGCCCCAAAGAATAGGGAGTCAAGCTATTCTCCAAAGCACCCGAAGGCAGGACAAGAAGCAACGGATGGAAACTAAACAAGGAGAGAAGCAACCTAGAACTAAGGAGAAACTTCATAACAGTGAAGACATTTAACCAGTGGAACAGCTTGCCACCAGAAGCTGTTGCTGCTTTTTTAAGAAAAGACTGGACAGCTACCTGTCTAAGACGGTATAGATTTTCCTGCTTGAGCAGGGGGTTTGACTAGAAGACCTCCAAGGTCCCTTCCAGCTCCATTCTGACCAAATCCTGCCTTGATTGGACGCTGCAAAATGGTTGATTCTGGCCAAGAGTTTTTGCATGCCCCAGGGCTCTGCTTTGCAGCAACAGAATGGAGCAAAGATGCTCCTAATGAATAAATAAACTCAGGATTTTCAGCTTTTGTTCCCCCCCTTTGCAATCTCCTTCCACAGGTCTCCTCCATCTCTGAAGCATCCCGAAGGGATACCTGTACATCAAGCAAAGCTTTCAAGCCTTAAAATGTAATTTGCACCTGCAAGCTGAATTCGCTTATTCCTTTTTTGATTTCTGTCTCCAGGCCTCAATCAGACCGCTTTCCCTTTCTTGCAAACACAAAACCAGCTGCATGATATAATACCGACCCTCCCATCGATTCCCCGTGCGTCACTCAGGCGCCGCTTCCTATGGCTAAGAGACTGTTATTCCCCTGCAGGTTACCTCCACTTAAAACACCTTCATTTATTCCTCTACTGGCGGTGGAAACAAAGCCGGGAACAGCTCCGTTTACCAGTTTCTGTACTTCGAGTTGCTAAAATAGCAGCCGGAGAAAGGAACCCTGGTTTAAAACTTGGTAGCTTTGGGGGCTAATGATTTGGGAAGGAAAATTACAATTGCAACGCTGAAGAAGCCTCACTCATTCCCGTCATCCCCTCCTGCCAAACCAAAGCAAACTGAAATGAAAACCCAAAGGTAGATTTCATGGAATCATCGCCCCGAAATTCCTTATTGTTTTTCCTGCAAGCCTTTTTCGTAGAAATCTCATGCCCTGGGCCTTATTGTTACTGGTATAATCGCTTTTTAATTTTTCTAGCTTTTTGAGGAACGGGGCCTCCGTCCCAAGGCCTGGCATCCTGATGGTCCTATCCGTAGGAGATAAATTGCTGGGTCTTCCATTCATAAGGATCCTTGCACACCCACAAGTGTTTGCACACTCAATGGGGGTGGGAGGTGCGATAGATCATCTTTTTTTTAAAAAAAAAGACGAGGATCTATCGAACCTTCCCCCCCCCCCAGTGTGCAAAGACTTGTGGGTGTGCAATTAAAGCGATTATCTATCCCATCGGATATCTTATTATCCCGAGTTTCTATGAGGCCGCCCGGTTTATCGCTTCCAAGTTCTCCCGTCCCCCCTTTTGTTATCTTTCTCGGTACACGGCAATCTGTCTAGCCATTTTGCAAAAAATTCAAAAAAATACATGTACGCCTTTCTTGCACACGCTATTCCTGCACTCATTCTGTGCTCTTCCTGGTTGTTTCTCCTTGGCAAGGCCAAAAAAGGAAGGGCAGACTGGGGGGGATTCTCTGCCCCCACCCTGCCATCCTCTCTCTCTCCTCCCCCCCTCCCATTTCCCCTTGATCCTGTCTCCTCACATGCATGCATGCACACGGCATCCCTGGGCAAAGGATACAGGAAAGTCGTACAGCTCTTTGTATTCGCGTGCGTGTCCATGTGTGTGTGTGCAAAAAAAAAAGGGGGGGGAGAGGTGCACCCTGCTGCCAGCTGCCACACCCTGTGCTTTCCCCCCCCCCTCCTGCCCTGATTGGCCAGTCTCCTGCACGCACACACACAATCGCACACCAGAGCTGCACACGCATTCTTGAGCAGGGCCCCAGTAGGGAAAATCTAGCAGAAATGGGCACTGCCATTTTTTTCTCCCCCTTCTCCTTGACACGCAAACATTCAGCCTCTAATTCTAGCTGATTGCTTCCCCTGCTTACTCCAACCCGGAGTACAACCGGAAGTCCTCGGCGTACGGCCACCGAGCCCAAATGTATGTTTGTTGAGTGAGACACTTGTTCAGCGAGCTTTCCCCCAGTGGAACAGCCTGCCTCCAGAAGCAGTAAATGCTCCAACACTGGAAGTTTTTAAGAAGAGACTGGACAGCCATTTGTCCGAAATGGTGTAGGGTTTCTTGCCTGAGCAGGGGGTTGGACTAGATGACCTCCAAGGTCCCTTCCAACTTTACTACTATTACTATTACTATTTTAGGATTTGTCTCGCCACCGTCCTTAAGTGAATCACTGCCGTTGTTAAGTTAGGAACACGGTTGTGAAGTGACTCCGGCTTCCCCCGTGGACTCTGCTGCGACCCTCATAAATACGAGTCAGCTGCCCAGCGTCTGAATTTGGATCCCGTCACCACGGGAGACGCCGCAATAGCCGTGAGGAAAACAGGCATTAGTCACTTTTTCCATGCCGTTGTAACTTCGACTGGACTGTAAGTTGAGGACTCTGTACAGATAGTCCTCGACTTACAACAGTTCACTTAATGACCGCTGAAACTTACAGTGGCACTGAAAAAAGTGACTTACGACGGTTTTTCACACCGCCTTTCCAGCATCCCCATGGTCACGTGATCAAAGTTTACCTCACATTTATGACTGTTGCCGCGTCCCGGGGCCACGAGATCTCTTTTTGTGACCTTCTGGCAAGCAAAGTCCATGGGGAAGCCAGGTTCACTTAACGACCGGGTTACTAACTTAACAACTGCAGTGATTCACTTAACAACGGTGGCAAGAGAGATGGTAAAAATGGGGCAAAGCTCCCCTAATTGATGTCTCAGTTCACAACCCAGAAATTTGGGGCTCAATTGTGGTCATAAGTTGAGGACTACCTGTTATTTGCGGGGGGGGGGGTTCTTTGAACCCAGGACAGACACCCCAGCCCTGTTTTCTCTGGTCGGTTCTTGTCTAGCAATTAGATTTTAAATTAGATAACTAATTATCTAACAACACTGGAAATTTTTAGGAAGAGACTGGGCAGCCATTTGTCTGAAATGGTATAGGGTTTCCTGCCTGAGCAGGGGGCTGGACTAGATGACCTCCAAGGTCCCTTCCAACTTTATTATTATTATAACCTTTATTGTCATTTTTTACTGTGGGCATAACAGCACACATTAAAAATGAAATTTAATTGCTTGCTCTCAAAAGTGTACACATACTGTACATAATACACATTTAAACATACTATATACAACATATGTATAGACCTAGACCCTTACATATAAGTAACATATAAATATTAATCCCTGTCCATCTTGAATACATAACGCAGTGGTTCTCAACCTGTGGGTCGGGACCCCATTTGGGGTCGAACGACCATTTCACGGGGGTCGCCAAACAACGCAGTCCGCCATTTTTTCCCCCTTTTCCTTAGCTGTGCTACTCCCTTTTATTCTATTAGCTTTTGAAAGCCAATAGAATAGACTCTCTTGAATAGAGTCTAATTCTATTGGCTTTCAAAAGCCAATAGGAATTGTCCAGGCTGTCTCTGCCCTGCTGAGCCCGCCAAAAGCCCCAGTCTGCAAACGGTGCTGCACCAGTTGAGTAGTCCTCGACTTACGACCGGTTGGGGGTCGCGGCATTAAAAAGGTTGAGAACCACTGACATAACGGAAGGAAGAAGCTTAGAGTTCACAAGGTTGATACTGTATGGAACAAAAACTGTGACTGAATCTGAATGTTCTGCTTCGGATACCACGGAGCCCTCTTCCCCCAGAAGGTAACAGGGAAAACAGGTCGTGGAGAGGATGTGTAGCGTCCCAGACAACCTTGCGGACCCTGCTCACACAACACTTATGTACCACATCCTGGATGGGAAGGAACTGCCAATGATCTTTTCTGCTGTCCTCATCACTCTCTGCACCATCTTCCTGTCTGAAGCAGGGATGCTTCTAAACCAGACTGTGATGCCCGTACGACAGGATGCTCTCGATCGTCATTCTGCAGAAAGTGGTCAGGACGGGGGAAGGAAGATGTGCTTTTCTCAGGCGACGCAGAAAATGCAGGCGCTGCTGTGCCCGCTTCACCAGGGTCTCGCTGTTGAGCGCCCAAGCCAGCCTTTTTCCCGTCCGTCTCTTTGCAACGATGCAAAAACTTTTCGCTATCGGCTTCCCTTTTTTCTTTTTTTTTGCAAACCGTTTCATTCCTTCCCCTTCGCGAGCAGGGACACCGCGCCAACGGAAGGAGACACTTCAAAAGCCACCTTTGTTTTATGAAGAAGAAACAAAACACCTTTTTTTAATACGCTTGGCCCGCCTCGTCCTTTTCATCCCCGAAGCTTGAAAATGTTCTTTTCCCTTCGTATTAGGGTCCGGGGCGATGAATACGCAGTTGGTTGTGCCAAGTTAAGAAAGAAGCAGGACGAGAGGAAGGCGAAGGATGATCAAAGAACGTGAGAGTGTATGGAACCGGCCCTCAAAAACTAGGGGCAAATTGTCACAGGAGTTAAGGAAAAATGCGCTGGGGTTCCTTCATTTGGGAAAACGCATCCGCGCACAACGACCCTCGGAGTCTGTTTGGCCTGGAAATAAAACCTTCAAACGACATTCCCAGCTCCCGCAGCCACTCGGTCACACCCCCACGGCCGTTTGCACTCTGCGTGGCTGAGAATTGTACCGCAAATAGTCCCCGACTTACAGGAGTTCCTTTAGCGACCGTTTGAAGTTACAACGGCACTAGGAAAAGTGACTTATGACCGTTTTTCAAATGGCCATTGCAGCATCCCCTTCGGTCACGTGATCAAAGTTTGGATGCATGGCAACTGGCTCATATTTATGGTGGTTGCAGCATCCCGGGGTGATGTTACCTGTGTGTAGTGTGCATTGTAGATAGCACTTAATTTCGCTGTGAGATACACAGTGACAATGAAGATATTCTATTCTATTCCATATTTTCTATTCTATTCTATTCTAATTCTGTATTCTATTCTATTCTAATTCTGAATTCTATTCTATTCTAATTATTCTATTCTAATTATTCTATTCTTATCATTATTCTATTTCTATTCTAAATTTTATTCTATTCTAATTATTCTATTTTCTATTCTATTCTAATTATTCTGTTATTCTATTCTTATCATTATTCTATTTCTATTCTATTGTACCTTCTGATTCCATTCCATTCCTGCTCTATTCTATTCCATTCCATTCCTGCTCTATTCTATTCTAATTATTCTATTCTATTCCAATTATTGTTATTCTATTCTTATCATTATTCTATTTCTATTCTATTGTATATTCTATTCCATTCCATCCTATTCCTGCTCTATTCTATTCTATTCCATTCCATTCTTATTTCTTATTCTATTCTTCTATTCTATTCTATTCTCTCGTTTACTCTACTCTACTCTGTTCCGGTCCATTCCATTCCATTATTCCTATTCCTATTCCTATTCCTATTCTATTCTATTCTATTCTATTCTATTCCTTATTTCTATTCTATTCTATTCTATTTCATTCCATTTCCCCACTTTTGTGACCTTGTGACAAGCAAGATCAATAAGGGAAGCCGGATTCACTTAACAACCGTGTTATTCACTTAACTGTGGCAAGGAAAGTCGTAAAATGAGGCAACACTCACTTAACAAATGTTTTGCTTCGCCACAAATATTTTAGGCTCAATTGTAGCCGTAGGCTGAGGACTACCTGTATAACACATCTGTGGACATGCACACCCTCCCTGGGACCGCAGCAGACAAGATTGATCTCCCGTTCTTCCAATGAAGAACACAAAGAGCTCGGACAAGCAAAGTTTGATTCCAAAGAAGCTGGACATTTTTATTACATCAAACACTGGTTCAACGTTCCTCCAACAATATCTGCGGCCTCACCCTTTCCGTTAACAGTCGAAGTTACAATTTCGCTTCTTTACGGGTTCTGAAAATACTCTACAGCCAATGACCCTTTACAGAGACCCCCGGCTGCTGCCCTCCGCCCAACCCCTTTTCAGTCCACGTTTTCAGGCCACGGCTTCGGCGGACGTGTCGCAGAACAGTTCCCGCAGGCCGGCGACGTCGTCGCTGGAGACGTGGATCCAGCCGTCCGAGCGGACGTGGTAGAGGTTCACCGAGCCCCCCGAGTAAGCGTCGCGGTACGTGGCTTGATAGATGGCCCGGCGGGCCAGATCGTAGGCGTCTTCCACCGAGAGGTCGTGAGAGTAGCCGCGATCCATCACCCCGTAGGCGTAGACGGAACCCGAGCCCACCGAGAAGACGGTTCCCGAGATGCGGTTCCCTTCACTATCCACGTAATAGAGACCTGAAAGGCAGAGGGCAAAGAAACCAGGGTTAACGGAGTCGCTCGTAAATTTTTCGACAGTGACTTTAAACCACAGTTCAGCGCCTAAAAAGAAAAAAAACACAGCAGGCTTGGTTTTAATTGGGCTGAACACGCTTTCTGGGGAGCGCGTTCTAAACCTGTAGACTTTCTCCACATTTTACCATCCTAATTCAGTCAGCCTTCCACTTACAACCGTTCATTTTTTGCGAAGTTAGAACAGTACTGAAAAAAGTGACGACTGTTGTGGCATTTTTCACAATTTTTTTCACATGTACGACTATTTTTTTTTCACACTTACGACTGTTGCAGCATGTTAAGATCATTATTTAACAGCTAACTAGCTTATGTAAGGTAAGATGTGTGATGTGATGATGATGATGATGATGATAATAATAATAATAATAAAGTTGGAAGGGATCTTGGAGGTCATCTAGTCCAACCCCCTGCTCAGCCAGGAAACCCTGTACCATTTCAGACAAATGGCTGTCCAGTCTCTTCTTAAAAACTTCCAGTGTTGGAGCATTCACTGCTTCTGGAGGCAGGTGGTTCCACTGGCTAATTGTTCTAACTGTCAGGAAGTTTCTCCTTAGTTCTAGGTTGCTTCTCTCCTTGATTAGTTTCCACCCGTTGCTTCTTGTCCTGCCTTCAGGTGCTTTGGAGAATAGCTTGACTCTCTCTTCTTTGGGGCAGCCCCTGAGATATTGGAACACTACTATCATGTCCCCCCCTTGTCCTTCTCTTCATTAAACTAGACATACCCAAGTCCAGCAGCCGTTCCTTATATGCTTTAACCAGCAGCCGTTCCTTATATGCTTTAACGATGGGAATGACTCAGCAGGCTCTATATCCCTTTAAGAGTCAGCAGGGTCTGTGTCTCTTTAAGAGCCTTGGTATAAAAGGAAGGCTCTGTTTCTGTGCTCTCTCTCTCTTCCGTTTCCTGCTGTAACTGTGGTGTGCTGGCTTCTGCTGTATTAGCACGTGTATATACATTGTTCCTCGTGTATGATATTGTAGACGGTGTAATATAAACCACCATTTAATACAGACCATTGTTTACTGTGTTTACTCCTGAGTTATCTCAGCCATGCTTTGACATGGCATTCCCGTGGTCACGGGATCAATATCCAGACCCTTGGCCACTGGCTCGTATTTATGACGGTTGCAGTGTCCTGGGCTCACGGGACCCCCACCCGACAAGCAAAGTCAACGGGGAAGCTGGATTCGCTTAACATCCGCGTTACTAATTTAGCAGTTGCAGCGATTCGCTTAACAACGGTTGGCAAGAAAGGGCCTCAAAATGGGGCAAAACTCACTTTAACCGACTGTCTGGCTTAGCCATGGAAATTTTAGAATTGATTGCGGTCGTTTACCCGGATGATATTGTGTGCTAGGTTGTGTGTGTATGTGGAACGGCGGAACTGGATTGTTGGACATTTGCAGAGTTTCAAGTCCCTAATTGCTTCGTCTCTTTGCCGTGAGATACGGTCCGGTCCGGGCTGTCAGCAGGGCTGGCTTTAAAGAAAAGGGCTGGACCAATTCGTGGCAGCCGGATCAGGGCTATTAGCCTGGAAGGCAGTTGCAATGCCTCTGCCAGATTGGTGGGCTTCCTGGATACTTGGCTGGCTACTGTGAGGGTGGGTTGTTGGGAGCCCCCTCCAGGAGGGGTTTGCTTACATTGCTACCTTGGCATGTGGCACTCTATTCAGTCCCCACAAAATAGAAGGAGGGGAGGGGGAGAAAGAAGAGGAGAAGGAGGGGGAAGAAGAGGAGGAGGGGGAGGAGAAGCAAGAGAACAGGAGAAAGAAGGAGGAGAAGGAGGAAGACAAGGAGGAGGAGAAGAGAAGGAGAAAGGAGGAGGAGGGGAAGGACAAGGAGGAGGAGAGGAGGGGAAGGACAAGGGGGAGGAGAAGAGAAGAAGGAAGAGGAGGAGGGAAAGGACGAGAAGAGAAGGAGGAGGAAGGGAAGGACAAGGAGGAGAAGGAGAAAGAGGACGAGGAGGGGAAGGACATGGAGGAGAGGAGAAAAGAAGGAGAAGCAGGAGGAGGGGAAGGACAAGGAGAAGAGAAGGAGGAGGAATAGGGGAAGGACAAGGAGGAGAAGAGAAGGAGGAGGGGAAGGACAAGGAGGAGGAGGAGAAGGACAAGGAGGAGAAGAGGAGAAGCAAGAGGAGGGGAAGGATAAGGAGGAGAAGAGAAGGAGGAAGAGGGGAAGGACGAGAAGGAGGAGGAGGAAGAGGGGAAGGACAAGGAGAGGAGAAGAGGAGGAGGAAGAGGGGAAGGACAAGGAGGAGAAGAGAAGGAGGAGGAGGAAGAGGGGAAGGACAAGGAGAAGAGAAGGAGGAGGAGAAGGACAAGGAGGAGAAGAGGAGAAGCAGGAGGAGGGGAAGGATAAGGAGAAGAGAAGGAGGAAGAGGGGAAGGACAAGGAGAAGAGAAGGAGGAGGGGAAGGACAACAAGGAGAAGCAGGAGGAGGGGAAGGACAAGGAGGCGAAGAGAAGGAGGAGGGGAAGGACAAGGAGGAGGAGGAGAAGGACAAGGAGGAGAAGAGGAGAAGGAAGAGGGGAAGGACAAGGAGGAGAAGGACAAGGAGGAAGAGAAGGAGGAGGAGGAGGAGGAGGGGAAGAAGGAAGAGGATTTCTTCCGAAGTTGTTTTCTAGTCTCTTATTCCAAACCTTTGCTAAGAAACCCTACTACAGCAGTCAAAAGAGCAGAGAGATGACACTGCTGCCTACAGCCATACTGTATAATCAGAGGAGTAGGTCTTCAACGAAACCGTTTTGAGACAACCCAACGAAAGAGAATTATGGGATTATTTAAAGAAAAATCCTCAGAGGGATTTAAAATGAGGTTTGTAAAGGGGGGGGGGAAGAGTAGAGAGACGGACTGTATTGTATTCACCAACGAAGGGCTTACAACAGGGTTTTTCAATCTCAGCGGTTTTAAGACCGGTGGACTTCAACTCCCAGAATTCCCCAGCCAGCCATACTGGCTGGGGAATTCTGGGAGTTGAAGTCCACCCGTCTTAGGATCCCCGAGGTTCGAAAAAAAAACAACACGCTAGCTTGTAACCACAATCCTACAAGCACAGAATGAGGGGAGTGCCTATGATTTATCTCCCACTCCAAAATTTATTTGCTTGACATTCAGGCACTTCAGCCGAATTTATTCTCTCCAGGCCAGTTATTTCGGAATGTGGCCTTAAATGCCATCCAGGCACTTTTCCTTCCTTTCTTTTTTTGCCATTTCTCAAGAACCAGCAAGCTTGATTCCCCCCCCCCCCATCCCCGAGTTAATAGAAATGGATCTATTTACACAATTTCTCCAGGGCTTTTCAGGGACCGCAAAGCAAAAAAAAACCTTTGGGGCAACTGGCAATTTAAGTGAGATTTATAGCTTCTCGTCCCCCAGGACAGACTGCAACCCTGCCCAGCTTAGCCGAATCAGCACAGGAGAACACAACCGCACAACTGCAACACAGCACACCGCCAAAGGGGGTATTTGAGTCTTGCCAGATTATCTCTCGTCAGCCGAAGTGCAGTGGGGGGGGGGGGGAACGTTGAGTGTGTGCTGAGTGTGTGCCGCACTTCTTGCAAAAGCTGAGTTGAGTGCCTCAAGTTTATGGCGTAAGATAAGATGCCGGGGTAATAGTTGAAATAAATTAACTATGATTTCCCCATTAATGTGTACAATTCTGCTGGTGGGGGGAGCTAAAAAAAAGGCAAATGGAAGATAGAATCGGCCTCTAATCACACTCCTTTTTCAATAACCTTGTGGAAATGCTCACACAAATACACACACACACACACACACACACACACACACAGAGACAGACAGACAGACAGACAGACAGATATAAATATATATTTTCAAGGCTAAGGAGTTTTCAATTTCCCCGCCTACAGGTTAAGTCCTCCACGTACGACGACTGAGCCCAAAGCCAGGCGGTCGTTAAGTGAGCCCTGCCCCGTTTTACGACCTTCCTCGCCGCAGCTCTTAAGTGAATCGTGGCAGGCTGTTAAGTTAGTGAATTTGGCTTCCCCCGTCGACGTCACTTGCCCGAAAGTGATCGCATGAGGTCGGGAAACGGCAACTGTCGTAAACGTGGAGCAGTTGGCGAGCAGCCGCATTCTGATTAGGGGGAAGCCGCGGCGGCCGTGTGAAAAACGGTCATAAGTGTGAAAAAACAGCCGTCAGTTGCTTTTTTCCAGGGCTGTCGTAACTAACTTTGATTTTCAAACCAATTGTTGTTAAGTGACTTACGATCGTCTTTCACACTTAACGACCGTTGCGGCATCCCCGTGGTCACGTGATCAAAACTGACTCATACTGATGACGGTCGCAGTGTCCCCGGGTCGTGTGATTTCCACTTCTGAGATGCAAAGTCAACGGGGAAATTCAGATTCACTTAACAACCGGGTTACTAACTTTAACTGCAGGGATTCACGGGTGGCAAGGATGGATGTAAAAGGGGGCAAAATGGGTCTCACTGAGCAACAGACATTTTGGACTCAATCGAGGTCGTAAATCGAGGACTTACCTGTGACCTCCTATCCTGATCCAGATTAGCGGCCCAAAACCAGCCAAAGTAGCCTAGCAGATGTTGAGAGTATGGAAAAAATTCAGAGAAGAGCAAGTAAGATGACCAAAGACCTAGAGACCAAAACATACGAAGAACGGCTGAAGGATTTGGGTTCGGCTACTCTAAAGAAAAGAAGAAATAGGGGAGACATGACAGCAGCGTTCCAGTATCTGAGGGGCTGCCACAAGGCAGAGGGAGGCAGGTTGTTCACCAAAGCACCAGAGGGAAGGACAAGAAACAATGGTTGGAAACTGATCCAAGAGAGAAGCAACCTGGAATTAAGGAGAAACTTCCTAACAGTGAGGACAATTAACCAGTGGAACAGCTGGCCACCAGAAATCGTGGGGTGCTCCATCACTGGAGGTTTTTAAGAAGAGACTGGACAGTCACTTGTCTGAGACAGTATAGGGTCTACTGCTTGAGAAGGGGGCTGGACTAGAAGACCTCCAAGGTTCCTTCCAGCTCTATTCTATTCTATTCTATTCTATTCTATTCTATTCTATTCTTTATTCTATTCTATTCTATTTCTATTCTAATCTATTCTATATTCCAATGTCTATTCTATTCTATTCTATTCTATTCTTCTATTCCATTCCATTCCATATTTCTATTCTATTGTCTATTCTATTCCTTATTTCTATTCTATTCTTTATTTCTGTTCTATTCTATTCTATTCCATTCCTTATTTCTATTCTATTGTCTATTCTATTCCTTATTTCTATTCTATTCTTTATTTCTGTTCTATTCTATTGTCTATTCTATTCTCTCTTCTATTCTCTCTTCTCTTCTCTCTTCTCTCTATTCTATTCTTTTCTCTTCTCTATTTTATTCTCTCTTCTGTCTTCTCTTCTCTTTTCTCTCTTCTCTTCTCTCTTCTCTTCTCTCCTCTTTTAGCCACAAATTCTCAAAAAGAGACACTGGCCATCATTTTTCCAAGTGGCCACTGGAAAAATGTCATCTTTCTTCCCACAGACCTCCTACCTCCTCCGCTTCTGGTAAGCATCGTGCAGGGTATGGAAAGTCCTCGGATTACGACAATTGAGCCCAACATTTCTGCTGCTAAAGCGAGGTTGTCAAACGAATTTTGCCCCATTTTACGATCTTTCTCGCCACAGTGGTTGAGTGAAACACTCAACGGTCGTTAAGTTAGCCACACAGTTAAGTGAATCTGGCTTCCCCATTGACTTTTGTCAGAAAGTCGCCAAAGGGGAGGGCGTGGCTGCAAGACACTGCAACGGTCATAAATAAAGGCCAGCTGCCAAGCATCCGAATCTAAATCACGTGAGCAAGAGGATGCTGCAACAGTCATAAATGTGAGTCAGCCGCCAAACATCTGAATCTAAATCACATGACCACAGGCATGCTGTGATGGTCATAAATGTGAGTCGGTCGCCAAGCATCCCAATATAAATCACGTGAACAAGGGGATGCTGCGACCGTCGTAAATGCGAGTCGGTTGCCAAGCATCCAAATATAAATCACATGAGCAAGAGGATGCTGCAACAGTCATAAATGTGAGTCAGCCGCCAAACATCTGAATCTAAATCACGTGACCACGGGCATGCTGTGATGGTCGTAAATGTGAGTCGGTCGCCAAGCATCCGAATATAAATCATGTGACCACGGGGATGCTGCAACCATCGTAAATGCGAGTCGGCTGCCAAGCATCCCAATATAAATGACGTGAGCAAGGGGATGCTGTGATGGTCGTAAATGCGAGCTGGTTGCCAAGCATCCCAATATAAAGCACGTGAGCAAGGGGATGCTGCGACAGTCGTAAATGTGAGTCGGTCGCCAAGCATCCCAATTTAAATCACGTGAGCAAGGGGATGCAGTGATGGTCGTAAATGCGAGTCAGTCACCAAGCATCCGAATCTGAATCACATGAGCAAGGGGATGCTGCGACCGTCGTAAATGAGAGTCGGTCACCAAGCATCCGAATATAAATCACATGAGCAAGGGGATGTTGCGACGGTTGTAAATGTGAGTCGGTTGCCAAGCATCCCAATATAAATCACGTGAGCAAGGGGATGCTGTGACAGTCGTAAATGCGAGTCGGTCGCCAAGCATCTGAATCTAAATCACATGAGCAAGGGGATGCTGCGACCGTCATAAATGCGAGTCATTCACCAAGCATCCCAATATAAATCACATGAGCAAGGGGATGTTGCGACGGTTGTAAATGTGAGTCGGTTGCCAAGCATCCCAATATAAATCACGTGAGCAAGGGGATGCTGTGACGGTCGTAAATGCGAGTCGGTCGCCAAGCATCCGAATCTAAATCACGTGAACAAGGGGATGCTGCAACCATCGTAAATGCAAGTCGGTCGCCAAGCATCCGAATATAAATCATGTGACCACAGGGATTCTGCGATGGTCGTAAATGTGAGTCGGCCGCCAAGCATCCCAATCTAAATCACGTGAGCAAGGGGATGCTGCGACGGTCATGTAAAAAGTAGTCAGCAGTTCCTATTTTCAGTGCCGTGGTAACTCCGAGCGGTCCCTAAGCAAATGGTCGTTAAGCCGAGGACTAGCCTGTAAAGCGTTCTGAAAGGCCCCAAACGAAACAAGCAAACTCCTCACCTGGTCCCCTCTTATCCCAGCCGCAGATCATGGTGCCCATGGAGAGGCCCATGCCCTTGTACTGGTACACCATGTTGGCCAAGAGCTTGGAGGCGGCGGCCACCGAGATCCGCTCCTTGTTGCGGAGTTCGTAAATGCGGCACTGCCGGGCGAGGAGACGCTCCCAGAAGCTGCAGTCGGCGGCACCCCCGGCCATGGTGCCCAGCAGGTAAGGGTTGATCTCGATGATCTTCTTGACCGTCTGCGAAGCAACATAGACCCCGGCCGTCGAGCGGGAATCCGCCGCCACGATCACCCCGTGCTGGAACTGGCGGAAGCGGGAGACAAGGGAAGACCCGAAAGCAGGTCCGGCATAAGAGTAGTCCTCGGCTTTACGACCGCGACGGAGCCTCAAATGACCACTGCTAAGCGAGGCCGTTAAAAGCGAGCGCTGTCCCCTTTTACAACCTTTCCCACCCCGGCTGTTAAGCAGATCACGGCAATTGTTCAGTTAGTAAAAGTAACTTAGTCGCTTCGGCTGTTAAGTGAATCACTGGCAATTAAGTTAGTAAAAGTTAATTATTAGTCACTTTGGTTGTTAAGTGAATCACTGGCAATTAAGTTAGTAACTTAAGTCACTTCGGTTGTTAAGTGAATCACTGCAATTTAGTAAAAGTTAATAGTCACTGAGATTGTTAAATGAATCATTGCAATTAAGTTAGTAAAAGCTTATTAGTCACTTTGGTTGTTAAGTGAATCACTGGCAATTAAGTTAGTAAAAGTTAATTAGTCACTTCGATTGTTAAATGAATCACTGGCAATTAAGTTAGCAACTTAGTCACTGAGGTTAAGTGAATCACTGCAATTAAGTAACTTAATCACTTGGGTTAATTGAATCACTGCAATTGTTAAGTTAGTAAAAGTTAGTCACTTTGGTTGTTAAGTGAATCACTGGCAATTGTTAGTAAAAGTTAATTAATCACTTTGGTTAAGTGAATCACTGGCAATTAAGTTAGTAACTTAATCACTGAGGTTGTTAAGTGAATCACTGCGATTAAGTTAGTAAAAGTTAATTATTAGTCACTGAGGTTGTTAAGTGAATCGCTGCACTTAAGTTAGTAACAGTCACTTGGGTTGTTAAGTGAACCCAGCTTCCCCACTGAATTTTTCTAGCCAGGTGGTTGCAAAAGGGAAACACAGGACCCTGGAGACTGCGACCGTCATAAATGTGAGTCAGTTACCAAGTATCTGAATTTTGATCGTGTGACCACGGGGATGCTGCAGAAGTGCAAATGGTCATAAGTCACCTGTTTTCTCGGCTGTCGTAACTCTGAACACTCACTAAATGAATGGTTGTACATCGAGGTTTACCTGTACAGGTATATCTTGGGTCATTTGCAAAAGGAAAAACTGAAAGGAACTCATAGCCAGTAAGAGTACAGTAGAACTAGAGTAGAACTATAATAGAACTATGTTGTTGTTGTTAATTGCGAAGTCGTGTCCGACCCATCGCGACCCCATGGACAATGTTTCTCCAGGTCTTCCTGTCCTCTACCATCTTCTGGAGTTCATTTAAGTTCACACCTATTGCTTCAGTGACTCCATCCAGCCATCTCATTCTCTGTCGTCCCCTTCTTCTCTTGCCCTCAATCTTTCCCAGCATTAGGCCCTTCTCCAGTGAGTCCTTCCTTCTCATTAGGTGACCAAAGTATTTGAGTTTCAACTTCAGGATCTGGCCTTCTAAAGAACAGTCAGGGTTGATCTCTTCTAGGACTGAGTGATTTGAACGCCTTGCAGTCCAAGGGACTCGCAGGAGTCTTCTCCAGCACCAGAGTTCAAAGGCATCCATTCTTTGGAGCTCAGCCTTTCTTATGGTCCAACTTTCACAGCCATACATTGCAACTGGGAAAACCATGGCCTGGACTATACGCACTTTTGTTGGCAGGGTGATGTCTCTGAGTAGAACTAGAATAGAGTAGAATAGAATAGAGGAGAATATAGAGTAAAATAGAACAAGAGTAGAGTAGAACTAGAATAGAGTAGAATAGAATAGAGGAGAATATAGAGTAAAATAGAACAAGAGTAGAGTAGAACTAGAATAGAGTAGAATAGAATAGAACAAGAGTAGAGTAGAAGTAGAATAGAACTAGAGTATAGAAGTACAGTAGAAGAATAGAATCTGAAAGGGACCTTGGAGGTCTTCTAGTCCAGCCCCTGCTCAAGCAGGAGAACCTATACAGTCTCAGACAGGTGAATGTCTCTAGTCTCTTTTTAAAAATCTCCAGTGATGGAGCACCCATGATTTCTGGTGGCAAGCTGTTCCACTGGTTGATTGTCCTAACTGTCAGGAAGTTTCTCCTAAATTCCAGGTGGCTTCTCTCTTTGATCAGTTTCCAACCATTGTTTCTTGTCCTGCCCTCTGGTGCTTTGGAGAATAATTTAACCCCCCCCCCCCTTCTTTGTGGCAGCCCCTCAAATACTGGAACACTGTTATCATGTCTCCCCTATTTCTTCTTTTCTTTAGACCGGCCGAACCCAAGTCCCGCAGCACTTCTTCCTATGTTTTAGTCTCCAGGCCTTGGATCATCTTAGTTGCTCTTCTCCGATTTTTTTCCAAACTCTCAACATCTTTTTGGTGGTACGGTGACCAAAATTGGCTGCAGTATTCCAGGTGTGGTCTCACCAGGGTTTTATACAGCGGTACTAATACCTCGCGTGATCCTGATTTTATGCCTCTATTTATACAACCCAGGATTGTGTTAGCTTTTTTTGGCTGTTGCTGCACATTGCTGGCTCATAGTCAACTGATCGTCCACTAGGACTCCAAGGTCCCTCTCACAGTTACTGTTTTTGAGCCAGGTTTCGCCCAATCTGTATTTGTGCCTTTGGTTTTTCCTGCCTAAGTGTAAGACTTTGCTCTTCTCCACACTGAAACTCATTTTGTTGGATCGGACCCATTGTTCAAGTTTGTCAAGTTATTTTTGGATCCTGAGCTTGTCTTCTGGGGTGTTGGCTACTCCTGCCAGTTTGGTGTCATCTGCAAATTTGATGAGTTCCCCTTCAATTCCCTCATCTAATGATGAAGATATTGAAGAGTACTGGGCGTAAGACGCAACAAGGCAGTTAAGTCAACCAAGATGCTCAACATTTGTATTTATTAAAGCAGTTTCTCAACCTTGGCGTCACTTAAGATGTGGGGACCTCAATTCCCAGAATTCCCCAGCCAGCCAGGAATCCTGGGAAGTGGAAATGTTGACTGTCAATTATCTAGTGTCAATTATCTTGACTGTTAATCCATAGAGGTTTGAATTGCCAAGGTTGAGAAACACTGGATTAAATCTCCATTAACTCCTTTCATTCAGGATCAAAATCCAGACATTAGGCTACTGACTCATATTTATGACGGTCGCAACATCCTGCGGTCACGTGATCCCCTTTGCAACCTTCTGACCAGCAAAGTCCATGGGGGAAGCCCGATTCAGTTAACAACCAGGTTACCAACTTAACTGCAGTGATTCACTTAACAACTGTGGAAACCAAAGTCCTAAAATGGGACAAAAATCACTGAACAAACGTTTCACTTAACAACAAAGCTTTGGGGCTCAATTGTGGTCGTTAAGTCGAGGATTACCTGTAATATGTTTTACAGGTAGTCTTCTACTTACAACGGTTCATTTAGTGACCATGTGAAGTTACAACAGCACTGAAAAAAGTGACTTCTGACCATTTTTCACACTTATGACAGACGGGAACTTGTAGGTCACCTAGTCCAACCCCCCCAACTTAAAACCATTGCAGCATCCTCGTGGTCAGACATTTGGCAACTGATTCACATTTATGACGGCTTCAGCGTCCCGGGAGTCACGCGATCTGCTTCTGCAACCTTCTGACAACCAAAGTCAATAGGGGGAAGCTGGATTCGCTTAACGACCGTGTTACTTCACTGCAGTGATTCACTTAACAACGGTGGCAAGAAAAGTCGTCAAATGGGGCAAAACTCGCTTAACAAATGTCTCGCTTAGCAACAGAAATCTTGGGCTCCCTTGTGGTCGTAAATCGAGGACTACCTGTATTAAAAAAAACAATAGCAAAGTGCAAGCCCGGCCGATAAAAGGTCTCCCCACTTTGCACGGCTTTCTCCTCCTTTGGGCAACCCCCTCCCCAAGCTCCGTAGAGCCTCCAGCTCCTCTCAAGTCTACCTTGCCTCCCCCGCCGCCGGCTTACCTTGAAGGCCAGCGTGGTGGTCCCGTGTTCCAGCTCGATTTTGGCGTCTCCCGCGGTCAGCCCGGCGTAAGGGGCGGCCAGCGCCAGGTCCCCCGACATCTTCGCCCCGCCGCGCGGGCCCGGCGCCCCCAGCCCGAAAAAGCCGGGCCCGTTTGCGGGGAATTGCGGCTCCAACAGACTGGCCAGCGCCATGTTAAGTGAGGGCAGCTCACCGTGACTCAGGAAAGCGCTGCGGCCTGCAGGCTATATAGTCGCCGGGCGCCATGTTGGGTGAGGGCAAAAGACTGCGTCACGTCGCAAGAAAGGACGCGACCGCGCCGGACTGGCTGCTCTGGATAACAATGGGGACGCCATGTTGGATGAGGGCAATGTTTAGCTTCGGCGCCGGATTAACTGCACTGGATAACACTGGGGGACGCCATGTTGGATGAGGGCAAGGATTAGCTTGCCAAGCCGGTTAGTCTGCCTGTAGGGAGTGATGGCTTCGGAGGATGAGAAGAAAAAAGGAGAGAGGACAACTTCCAAAACAGTTGGAAGAAAGGGGGGAAAAAGAAACATGGAACTTATTGTTGAAATTTAGAATGTTATTTGTTCCCTGCTAGGGAAGGAAACAACCCAAAAGTGGTCGATTTTCATGGCAATATGTGCCATGAACTAGTAATGCAGAGGTTCTCCTGAGGAACTCACTGCCTCGTGATGGCCCGGAGTAAAAACAGATTTAAAAATAGCAAATCGAGTTTGGGGTAGTGGTTAAGGCATCAAGGTAGAAACGGGAGACAATGAGTCTTAATCCTGTCTTGGGTTCCAAGCCACCTAGGTGACCTTGGGCCAGTCACTTGCTGAGCCCCACGAAGGAGGCAAAGGCAAACCACTTCAAAAAAGTGGTTTGCCAAGAAAAAGTACAAAGACATGTTCAGATATGATTTAATGGAAAATAGATAGATAGATAGATAGATAGATAGATAGATAGATAGATAGATAGATAGATAGATAGACAGATGAGAGGTGAGAGATGGATGGATAGATAGATAGATAGATAGATAGATAATAGATGAGATGGATAGATAGATAATAAATAGAAGACAGACAGATAGATAGATGATAGATGATGATAGATTGATAGATGATAGATAATAGATGAGAGACGGATTGATAGATAGATAATAAATAGAAGGCAGATATAGATAATAGATAGATAATTGATAGATTGATGAGAGATAGATGGAAAGATAGACAGATATATACACATATACACACTGTTCTTCTGTTGATGGTTGTCCTTTCACCCGTTTGTGATGTTTTGTATTGCTAGAGTACATGCTTTTGTATAGTTTATTTTTTATGTATATATATGTAAAAATGAATTCCGTTTACATGGTCGTCCATCTACAGTGAGTGATTCTGAGGGGCTAACCACCCTAAAACTAAAGCAAAGCTAAACCAATAAATCATATCTGATAGGTTGCTAATTTATTTTTTTTACAAGCTGAAGCCCCATCAGGCCAAGTTAGTACTTGCATGGATCCCCTCTAAGGACCTCCCACCCCGAAGACACTTACCTTCTTTCCCATAGAAAGAGGAAATTCAATTCCAATTTTATATCCGCAAAAAGCTTTAGTGCTGTATTAATAGTTTCGCTTCCATGCTGATGTCCTTAAACATTCTCCACGGGAAGGTGCCTCTTAAGATTTGTGATCTCTCCTCTCTCTACTGGAAATGGCTATTTTTCTCTTTGTTCCTGTTTACTCCCCTGTACCTGGCTTTCGTATTCCTCTTTAATCTTCTTTTAAAAAAACGAACAAGAAACTAATGACATTTGGCCCAGAGAACTAGTGGCATTAATCATCTCTGTCAAGCACTGTATAGGGTCCCTTTTTAAATAGTAATTTAAAAAAAAAAAGATGGGTCTGGAAGAGCTAAAAGGAATACTTTCAAATCTCTGCACTCTCTTTTTATTCTTTATTCTTCATACTGTTTCCATCGTCCCTTAAAACATTAACAGACTCCCCAATGGACTGAGAATCCGCGTCTCCACTAGATAATTGACAGTCAAGATGAAACTAAGTTAATTGAGTAAAAAGAACCAACGGGGGAAAAATCTTTTACTCAAAACTTCCTCAAATCTCCCAAATAAATTACCCAGACCTAATCCACATATCAAAGGATAAAGTCTGTAAACACAAATAAAATTAGGTTTCCCAGCGGAACTGCATGTTCACAGGAATACATACAGAACACACACTTGCCTCTCAAGTGTCACTTCCACACACTTCTGCACCCTGGACAAGCTTCCCTATAAAAATCTGTCACCCTACCCCATTTTTCTGCAGCTGCCCCTAAAGGCAATCTATTTGCTTTTAGGAATAAATATTTCTTCTTTCCTCACAGCTGTCTGGATCTCATGTTTATTCTTGCGCCACCAAATTTGGAACCCCAAATTATTATTCTGACAACCCCAATTTCCAACATCTGGAACAGCTTCACAACTTAGCCAAGATCTGTTTCAATCAATCATTCATTCAGAATCGAGCAGGAAGGGGCCTTGGAGGTGGCGCAGCAGTTAGAGTGCAGTACTGCAGGCCACTTTAGCTGACTGTGTTGAGCAGGTCAGCGGTTCAAATCTCACCGGCTCAAGGTTGACTCAGCCTTCCATCCTTCCGGGATAGGTAAAATGAGGACCCAGATTGTTGGGGGCAATGTAAAGATATAAATATACATTGCTTACTGGTGTACACCGCTTAGAGAGTGCTTGCACTTAAAGCAGTATATAAGTCTCATAAATAAATAAATAAATAAATCTAGTCCAACCCCCTGCTCAAGCAGGAGACTCTATATTATTTCAGACAAATGACTGTCCAGTCTCTTCTTAAAAACCTCCAGTGATGGAGCGCCCACGATTTCTGGTGTCAAGCGGTTCCACTGGTTAATTGTCCTCCCTGTTAGGAAGTTTCTCCTTAATTCCAGGTTACTTCTCTCCTTGATTAGTTTCCATCCATTGTTTCTTGACCTGCCTTCTGGTGCTTTGGAAAATAAGTTGACCCCCTCCTCTTTATGGCAGCCCCTCAAATACCGGAATACTGCTATCATGTCCCCCCCTAATCCTTCTTTTCTCTAGACTGGCCATTCCCAAGTCCTGCAACCGTCCTTCCTATGTTTTAGTTTCCAGGCTTTTAAATTCTTGGAACGGTTCCCTTGAAGTTAACTAAAAGCTGCTTTAGAAGTCAATTAGAATAAATTCAATAGAATCTCCACGGGATTTTGGAGTGCAAATGAAGTGTGCAAATTCTCCCAGCTGTCTTCAGCTATCGGATACGTAATTCCAGCACATCTGTGAACCCGTACAACTTTCTTCTTTCTCGGGACGCTATTTCCCAACCTCTGGAAGGACAGACACAGGTGGGGTGGGGTGGAGACAATTCAGCGTCCCCGTTAGGAGATAGGAGACGCAGAGGGCCTGGTTAAGACTGACAGCTGTCAACAAGACAGGACTGCTTTGGGGGCAGGTGAGGAAGGGACAAGTCAGGAATCTCCTTGGGGAGAGGACAAATCCTTGTTTAGGTTGGGAACACCCGTCTCAGCCGCAGGGAACGTCAAAATCAAAAGTGTTCTGATTCTCCCAACGTTGTCCTGTCCTTGAATTTCAGGACAGATGACCCCAGTGACATTGAAGACTGCATGCAGCGAAGATATTTTGGGCACCAAAACGCCGCTGCTGGATTGCTCGAGATTGTCCTTAAAACAGCGTCTCCAGAAGTCCCGAGAGTACAAATCAAGTCGTCCCCAAGAGGGAACCTGCCACTTCAGCGGTGGGTGCCAATCAAAGACACCCTTGGATCAAAAAAAAAAAAGACATTATTTCATTGTCTGGGTTTTGCTCCGCCCCCGTCTCCCGAAGGACCTGGGTCTATGGCAGTGGTTCTCAACCTTTCTAATGCCGCGACCCCATAATACAGTTTCCCATGTTGTGGTGACCCCCAACCACTTATACATCACCAAGTGCCAGGGGCGTGGCCAAAGAAAAGGGGGAAAAATGGCGGACAGCCTTGTTTGGCGACCCCCGTGAAATGGTCGTTCAACCCCAAATGGGGTCCCGACCCACAGGTTGAGAACCACTGGTCTGCGGAAAGCTGAGGATTGAATTCCTAGTTCCGGCTGGTCGCTGTGAAGATCAGGTTTTTCTTTTAAAAGAGAGTGCAGCTAGTCCTCAACAGGTCATTTAGTGACGGTTCAAAGTTACAACAGAATACAGAGGTAGTGCTTGGCTTAACCACCGCTCATTTGGTAATGATTCTAGGTTGTAAGTGCGCTTAAAAAAAAAATAACTTATGACCATTTCTGACACTTACAACCGTTGCAGCATAACTCACACCCTTTACACTTTTTCCCTTAATGCAGGGATAGGCAACCTTGGCTCTTTGATGACTCGTGGACTTCAATTCCCAGAATTCCTGAGCTAGCGTGCCTGGCTAAGGAATTCTGGGAGTTGAAGTCCATAAGCAGGGGTCTTGAAACTTGGCCCTTTTATGACTCGTGGACTTCAACTCCCAGAATTCCTGAGCCAGCCAGGCTGAGGGAAAAGGGAGAGGTTTCCAAGCTGAGCCGTGCTGGCTCAGGAATTCTGGGAGTTGAAGTCCACAAAGTCATGAGGGGGCCAAAGTTTCCCTCATGCTGGCTCAGGAATTCTGGGAGTTGAAGTCCACGAGCCATAATAAACCCAAGGTTGCCTACCCCTGCCTTAACGCAACAACTTCAGTGTGATGTATTTGTTGGTGAACCCCCAACTTCTAAATTAATTTCGTATTTCTGGCTATTCTTTTATAGTATCTAGCTCAGTGGTTCTCAACCTTTTCAATGCCGTGACCCCCAACCGGTCGTAAGTCGAGGACTACTCAACCGGTCGTAAGTCGAGGACTACTCAGCTGGTGCAGCACCGTTTGCAGAATGGGACTTTTGGCGGGCTCAGCAGGGCAGAGACAGCCTGGACAAGTCCTATTGGCTTTTGAAAGCCAATAGAATTAGACTCTATTCAAGAGAGTCTATTCTATTGGCTTTCAAAAGCCAATAGAATAAAAGGGAGGAGCACAGCTAAGGAAAAGGGGAAAAAAATGGTGGACTGCGTTGTTTGGCGACCCCCATGAAATGGTCGTTCGACCCCAAATGGAGTCCCGACCCACAGGTTGAGAACCACTGGTCTAGCTCATTTTCCAAGGTCTTTTCATTTTCCCCAAGCTGC